TCCGTTTGTGACCAGAAATCCTGATGATGACCAACAATCGTCGAGGACATGGGCCTGCATTCTGCGGCGACAATATTTATTTCCCTGTTACACATCATGATTTGGCGCTACATCAACCAACACCAAAAAAGACAGTGATTTCATGTACAGCGGTTATCATATTTAAGCGCTTTTAAATTAGTGCAAAAATCTGTATTGTATCTCCAACAAGAAGAGTTCCAATTTGTTGGATATTTTGTTATTTTATGTAACATCATTCAGAATAATTTCAAAATGTTATAACTTGGCAAAACATTTTTTGGCTTTTTATTAAAATAAGAAAATAAGGGGAAAAAACACTTATTTCACTGGAAATATTTTTTTTGTTGGAACTCTTTGTCTGAATACCAAACCCGCAGACAAGTATTATCAATGCGTAAACTTCTTGTGTATCTTAAAGACGTATCATAATTTAAATATACAAATCTTGGTGATTATTTTTTACAGATAGTTTTTATACTCTTATGAACTCTTTTTAAAAGAAGATAAATTACCGTGGTGGCATATACCCTTAAATAAACGTAAAACTTATATAAGATTTGTCTGAAGACGACAATTACTACGAATATTCAAATATACCACAATATATGACAAATTAAACTTCGCATGTTGATGTCTAGTTTGTTCCATCGGTGTTAATTAAATTAGTTTCTGTTCCGGATTTTCAAAGCCATCAGATAGTGTTTTCTTAAATACGGGAGACCTCAACCCAGAGGTTCAAATATTACATGTAGTTAGCTTAGCGACGATTAAATGTGAAACCATAATCTGATGTATTTAAAAAGAAAGACAAAAAATCACATCTAAAATTACACGACTATGTAAATAAGGATTCAATAATGTTATCTGAAAACAAGAAACTCACAGTGGTTGCAAATTAAATATTTTCTCAAAATCGAGTTTTAAGAATTTGTCATGATTTAGGTGTGAAGCTAACCGGGCTTTTCTCAATTAGGTCCAGACGCCAGACTGAGTTAACCACGAGGGTATCTTCATCCTAAAATTGGATGACATATCTTTTAATTAACCGACACTACAAAGTGTGACGCGATTGTGGTGTTTTATCACAAACAGAACGCACGAATTTGTTGTACAAATCAAAGAATAGCTAAATAATCAAATCTGCTACCTTTAACTTGAAAGTTACAATTTAAACCACGAAAGTTTGTTGTTAATTCTTTTTAATCTCATGTCTGGTTACAAGGGGTTGAGATCGTCCTTTAAATATACCAGGATATCATCAAGGTACTTTGCATTAAACACGGGTTACTAGTAAGCTATCACTTTACACTGAGCGCTGTCTATACATATTTGATATACATAAAAAAAACGCTAATTCGAACTCCGGATAAATAGTTCGAGAAATGCATGGTATTGGAGGAATCTGAAGATCGTCCGACATCTTCATGTTTTGATCATGTGGGACGGCAGACAGCACGAGCAATGTGGACAGTAGATGATGGAAGTAAAAAGAAAAAGAAATTTTATAAAGATGACAACATTTTATTAGTTATGAATTCCCCAAAAATGAAATTATATAGTCATCGGTATTAAGAAAGGAAGTAAAAAAAAAAAAAAAGCTGTACATTATATAGGCGGATTGGTCGAGTGGTTCACATTCCGGCCTTTCACGCAGGCGGCCGGGGTTCTATCATTCAGAGCAAGTATTTTTCTCCTGCCCAAACATCTCCAACACCGTTAACGCACCCAGATGGAGTATAAAATGGTCTGGGGTGGGTGTTGCGGTACCTGTGCTGTAGCGTTCAATTGAGGTGGCACTATAAGTTATCCCGTTGGAAGCACGGTCCCAGTTATAGCAAATTATAATAACATATAAGTTGTATAGAAGGACGCCGCAGTTATCTCCCATGCTTTCGAATGTAAGGTTTTAGGCTAGTGTTCTGACGACTGGCTGGGTAACATATTTTAAACGTAGGTAGGTCACCGAGAGATACAATTCTTGTACGCTGACTGGATATAGAGAGATGATACAGTGTACTACCAGTGTCCCCGGACATACCCACTTGTTGGTGCTAAAGAGTACCCTTACCTTATAATTAACACTGCTTAGCACACGTATCGCCATACGCAGACGACAACAAATTAAATCTTCTATTTTTCCATTTTAAAGTGTTTTATTTAAAATCATACTATAAACTAGAATTAATATGAGAATAATGTGGTAAATTCTTGTCATTGCTGACAAATTCGGCATGACTTCATCCTTTGAATAGCAACATCGAGATTACATCGTCACTATGTGAAGCTCAGTACATATGCAAGTATGTGCAGCAAACTAAGTGAGATTACCTAATGGACTATTTCTGTAGCCCTTAACTTAATATATATCATATGCTGGTCAACATTTAAACATCATAGCGGGTGTACCGACAGCAAGGGATAGGGAAATTCCACCCTCGGGGTTTTCTTTGGCAAGATCATCGGGTTTTAGCAAATTTGAAAACCTCTCAAGTGGAATTTCCAAATCCTACGCCCCTGGGCATGAAAAAGTCTTATAATCTGTACATGTGTATCCCCAGGGATATATTCTTATTGGTATCATGGGAGGCAATGTAATAGGCCAGCGTATATGTAGTTGTCTATACACTGGTACGCAGGTGAATCCACCAAATTTTGAAACTGGAAAACAATTTGATTTATTTGAGGCATATTTCAATCCCAGACGATACTAGTAGTTTATCAAAACCCTTGACCGTCTGAAACTTTCATTAATCCTTTTTGTCAACAATAACTATTCTTATTTGACATGATCCTGGTCCGACCTAAATACAATATTTAAAAAAAAGTCGAACATGTCTTGTTTGTGTATTTGTTACAAACTATAAAAGACCTATTTAAGGCAATTTGATTTGAGGTTTCCATGTGTAAATATTTCATTCATTTAAAGATCAAGAAAGATAATTCATTTGTGTAACCCTACAGCCATTCTTTTCTAGGTATATATATATATTTACATTCTTGATATGTAGATCAGCTTCTGCTATTCATTGCGGCAATGTACATGAAAAAAAAATCCATTCAATCCCTAAATATATGTCTTACGGGAGGTAGATTGGTCTTTGACCATAACCAAGCTTGATCTTAAACTTTACCTCTAAAATCACAAAGTATATTAAAACCAGAGGCCCAATGGGCCTGCATCGCTCACCTGGTATTAATCTCACAATTGTAACCTTAAAAGAGGACTAAAATAAAGCTACAGGCAAAATATCAGCGTGTTGACTTAAAGTTTAAAGTAATTCAGAAAAAATGGGCAAAGGTCATTCATTTGAATAAACATGGTAGCCCTTCATCCCAGCCTCTTGGTTATTTAGAAGAAGTCGTTTAAAGGCTTTCAAACATATTTGACCCCTGTGACCTTGAATTTAAATCAAGGTCATTTATTTGAACAAACTTGGAAGCCCTTCATCCCAACATGTTACTGGCCAAATATCATCACCCTAGGCCTCTCGGTTATTCAGAAGAAGTCGTTTAAAGGTTTTTAACATATTTGACCCCTGTGACCTTGAATATAAATCAATGTCATTTATTTGAACAAACTTGGTAGCCCTTCATCCAAGCATGTTACTGGCCAAATATCATCATCCTAGGCATCTCAGTAATTTAGAAGAAGTCGTTTAAAGGTTTAAAACATATTTGACCCCTGTGACATTGAGCATAAATCAAGGTCATTTATTTGAACAAACTTGGTAGCCCTTTATTTCAGCATGTAACTAGCCAAATATCATCATCCTAAGCCTCTTGGTTATTCAGGAGAAGTCGTTTAAAGGTTTTAAAGATATTTGACTCCAGTGACCTTGAATATAAATCAAGGTCATTTATTTGAACAAACTTGGTAGCCCTTTATCCCAGCATGTTACTGGCCAAATATCGTCACCCTAGGCCTCTCGGTTATTCAGAAGAAGTCGTTTAAAGATTTTGAACATATTTGACCCCAGTGACCTTGAATATAAATCAAGGTCATTTATTTGAACAAACTTGGTAGCCCTTCATCCAAGCATGTTACTGGCCAAATATCATCATCCTAGGCATCTCAGTAATTTAGAAGAAGTCGTTTAAAGGTTTAAAACATATTTGACCCCTGTGACCTTGAACATAAGTCAAGGTCATTTATTTGAACAAACTTGGTAGCCCTTTATCCCAGCATGCTTCTGGCCAAATATCATTACCCTAGCCTTTTTGGTTACTGAGAAGAAGTTGTTTAAACTTAAAAGTTGACGGACGGACGACGGACGCCGCACCACGGCATAAGCTCACTTGGCCCTTTGGGCCAGGTGAGCTAAAAACAGTGAGCATGTCTGGTTTCCATAACTTACATGTACCATGGATCTACCCAGATGATGATGTTTGAACTTAGTAACAAATTTTACCTGGGCGACAATGATAGTAGTTCAAGGTCATTAATAAAAGGAAACTAATTGTACTTCGTCAAGGTAGCTAAATGTAGCGGACAAATATTGTGACCAACGGCCAGCTAGGCTTTCTGGAAAATTGAGAATCTGATTTTTTTCACCCTAGTCAGCTTGTAAAATTGGTCGTTGGCTTGAACATAAAACCTGAAAATGATGCAGATGGCTTTTTTATATCTGATTCTAAAATACAATGGCTTTAATCTTTACAGCCTTTTAGGCAATGCCACTTTTAACACATTTGAGGTCAAGATGACTTTTTTGAGAAATTTGAGTTCACTCTGGCCAAGGTGGCTAATAACCAAATATCATGACCCTGGGTTTTTCAGTTCTGAATAATTATATATATAAGAAGCTGTTGAAAAAAGTTGACAGATGGACACCAGTCCATACCATAAGCTTACATGCACTTTGTGTTAGCTGAACTAGTAAGAAGGAGAAAACCTTTCTATTATTAGAAAGTTGTCGGTTTCAAAGCCCTCAACCCCGACGATCAATTCCAATTCTTTTCAAAAAGGACACAAAACAAAATTACAAAGAGCAGCTTTAATCATAGATTTAGAAAGAAGATCATCATTCACATTTAATGCAGATATTCTACAGTTCACAAATGTATGTGTTCCTTACAGGAAAAAATATTCTGTGTTACAAATGTATATAAAGTTAGGAAATGCATTTTGTTCATGTACATGAATATATATTAATATGCATATTTGTATAAATTGTTTTTCGTGGCTCAACATTTTGTGAGCACATTTCATAGTTTTTTACAATGACAAAGCAATTAATATTAAAAACATGATTCACATTTACATCTCTGTAAGAGAGCAAAGTACTGCTTCTACTGAAACAAAACAGGTCCAATACATTGTATTATGAACAGGTGGTTCGAACATCAAACTTAACAAAAAAAACATCTGATTATGATGCAAACATATGTCTCTAAGATCCATACTTTTTTTATAATATCAAATATTAATTGATATCAGAAATGAATATAAGAAGTTCTAACAATTTTTAAGTCTGATTTATTCATATTTTTTTTGGTCATTTTCAATCGCTTTTCTATAATGGTAGTTATCAATTAAGTTTGGAATCATATTGCACTGATAATGTAATGGTATTACAAATGTAAAATTGATTATTGAGAATTCAAACCCGAAACAAAGAATTTGATTCTATTATCAAATATTGTACACATGGTAATTTATGTGCATGTTATTTTCACAGTAAAAATAATATTCAAATTTAAGAAGACTGCAAATATTTAGAGTGAAGAACCACTGAACATACCAACCAATCTTGAAATCCCGATTTTAAAACTTTGTAAAATATTTCATAATGAGGTAAGTATACGTCAGTCATTTACAATATACTTTGTGTTAAATCTCTAAATTACCACAAACATAGGCTGTGGCCCTGTTTAAAGAGTTAAAAGTGTTTTGGAATTATTCCCATAACGTACATCATTATTTAGGAGCACAAATTAACAAATGCTACGACCCATAGTGCAGAGGATAACATTCCTGCTTATAATGAAGACTTTCAGTTCAGGGATCAAATTCCCTTGATGGAAATGCTTTTGTGAAACAGGGAAATATTCATAATATTAAAACCATAATATTAAAACCATATTTCTTTGTTATAACCCTTTACTTTTATAGTAAATTGGCAACTAACTGGAAAAAAAACCCAATTTATCAAATTGGAACTCTTCTTTGTTGGAGATACAAAACAGTGCAGGGACTCTCTACCTTAACATGAAAATGACACTGCTATATATTCAAGGCTATTCAGTGTGTTATAAATTCATGATTTTGGCAAAATGAAATACTATGAACCAATTTTTAATACTGGTTTTATAAATTACACATTGTGAACATGCAGGTAATAACATTCAAGTCAAATTGGCGGTCAGGGTATGGCAAAATTTGTGATTGTTGAAAATGAAGGACCCATTATTTTTTATCAAAAGATAAATAGGACACTGAATAATACCACACTGTTGACATCTGGATATGATTTATCACTCACACGAACACAAAGATTCAAGGAAATATTACATAGTATTGATTTTCTTATAAATAATGTATCTACGATACCAAAATCTCAACAAACTAGGAATACTTTAACAATTATCATAAACAGATATTTTTTTAAAGATCACAGATTCATTTTGTGGAGAAATCATCATCATAAACGTTGTCAATGATTTTGATAAATATATATATTACCATTAATTTAACAGATGTAGCACTATAATTTAAATGTGTAACAAAAATTATATAACTTCGGTAAATATATTTAGGAATTTTTTGAAACAGAACTTCCTAGATGGATTTCAAGCAAAATTAACATGATTGTTTCCACTAATTTGAGAATATGTTTGGAACCAAAAGTACATAATTGAACAAAACAAATTAACAAAATTTGAATATTTAATTTCAATGAAAACTGAAACGAAAGCAAAACAATGGATAATGAAAAGACACTTCATTTAGATTAACGAAACAGAAATTCTCCTTCACACGTTAAAATCAATTATATATTTCATGTAACAATTCACCAAAAAGCCTCATTCTGATAAATACTTATTGCTTATTCAGAAGTTAAATTTAAAATCAACTTGAATATGCATTAACAAACATTAACCTCGGAACAGCTTCTGTGGTAAATAAATTGATCAATGCATTTTGTCTGCGGTGGTCATCAACACACGTGAAGTTTGATATGTATTCAGTACAATTAACAGGGCATGCTTGATCTGTATCCACCTATATGCTATATTGTTGCAGTCACAATAACAATACATAATGAAATTTTCATATCTTGGCTCTGTTCTGTATACCTGTCTAGAACTGGACGTCATCGATTGTCTTGCCAAGTTTATGAAAACGGCAGTCCATCTCGACCCAATTTCAATGACATCTGTTGGTTTTAGTTAATATTTTTCATTTTTTTGTGTATTTTTTTTTGTATCTTTAAATTTGATGATCCCATTTGTACAATGCTACAATGATATGGTTACTTCTAACAAGCATTAGTAAGAAGATCCGAATATATAGGTTTACATTGTATATAATTCAGTTGTTAAATGTCACTAATGAAGACTACCCGACATTTTTCTGTACTTATCTTTTCCACAAAACAACAACTATATATATTACAATACAATGACCACAAAGAAATCTGTTTCATGAGTTATCTCCCTTTGTTAACAATTCTTATCTCAGCAACTACATGTACTCCAGGATATATGCTACTCTCCCTTGAAAACACTACTAATTCAAAATTACTTCCCTTGGAAAATTTTTGCTAACAGGTATTATTTTGCACCTTTAATGTGTTTTAATTACCAATTAATTATCTTAGTCCAAATGTAGTCAAACACAAAGATATTGGTTTAAAATCTCTTTCTGAATGTTTGAACTCTTTTGTTAAGGAGATTATAAAAGGTTACTGTGGCATGTAACCTTAAAGTAAATCGATAATATTTATAAAAATAGTTTAAATTATAAACTTAAATGTTTGTCTGAAGACCAAACATACAAAATTGTAAAATGATTGATATTTCTCCGAATGCTTAAAGATTTTTAAAAAATAAATTGAAAACTTCAGCTTAGATGTAAAGTTCCGAACAACCTGACCCAGACTAAACTATAAAACTACGACACACACGTCCACAATTCCTTATAGCACTTCAGAAATGACAGGTGAATAACGTTGTCAATCATCTTTACGCATCATAAGTACTGGAAGACACGTTGCCTCCGTGTCCAGTCCAGTTTGTGTGGATGAATTTACCAGGAGAAGCCAGAAGTTCATAGGTGTGAGCTCCGAAGTAGTCCCTCTGTGCCTGAAGTGTAAGATCTCAGCATAAGCAAATGGGATATGATACGAAAAAAACACAACAAAAGTTGTAATTTAAGCGAATGAAACTGCTGCCCCAATTTTTTTTAAATAAAATGTCATAATCACCAATAAAACAAAGTAAGAAGTAAGTGGAGGCTGACAAAGATGTACCCCTCAACCCCACGAATGGTCAAATGTGACTATAGTCTGTTTAACCTTGCAAAATGACCATCAAAATCTAATAGTGTGGTATAATACCTTGGTATTAACACATGTACTAAGCCCCACTTTCCTGTGGCCCCGACACCAGACATATATCTGAAAAAATTGTCTATAATGTCAGGGCCAGAGGAAACTTAATACTATGTAATAGTTTAGAGATGAACTGAATCTGTTAAGGGTCAAGAGATGTGACTTTTTAACTTTCAGACTTGACATACTTCAATCTTGACAGATGACCACATACATGTATACATATCATCATGTTAGAACTTATTATCAATTACCATACTGTAAACCTGATATGATCAGTCTGCTGAAGGGCCAATGAGAAATCTTCTACAGTTATATTTTACAATGGACATATTGGTAGACTCGGTGATGGGGCCATCCTGGATGCTCTAGAGGTTACGCTCACATTCGCTCTCTGCATGTCCTAGCAAAATTGCAGGCCCACGGCTAGCTACCGGGTATTTGATTGGTCTCGGGTAAAACAATCTGACCAATAGCTAGGCTGATACCTGTCTTTTGAAGATTACAAAGGAGCAACACCTGACTTCGAAGCCTGTCAGTTTTACCCTTACACGACCAACAGATTATGTTGATGTACATCAAAGGATCAAGCTAGTATGCTCCTCTCATCCACAAGGTGGTGCACACGGAGCCTTTGATTTTGCTACGATAAATTCCAGGGGAGCAGAGAGAGAAAGCGAGCGTAACCCCTGGAGTATTGAGGATGTGAGAGGGGTAAAATTAACCTTTGAAATAGGAAAGTCAGAAATGTATAAACAAGACCTTCTATTAGATCCTTTGATGTAAATATGTAAATTTAACCTCTGTTATCCAGTACTTTCCTATTCATTAGGTCTATTAAGAATTCACTGTAGGATGTGTGTGCAGATGTATGTACATGTATGTATGAATGATGCATGTATGTATATGCAGTGTGTGTGGAGTATGTATGTATGTGTGTGTGTGCGTATGTATGTGTATATATGTGTGTATCTTGTGTGTATATGTTGTATGTATATGTGCTTAAGCATACTTTTGAGTATAGGAATGTGGGCCTAATTATGTACTAAGGCTTATATGAATTGAAGGTGAGACGGTGTGGAGACAGGAGCACAGATGTGGATATATGTATGTATTTGATGTGTGTTTGAAATTACTTGTATAATATGTTGATGTATGTCTAATATGTATATGTCTATGAAATGAAAAAAATCAATAAAAAATCAATAAAAAAATAAATAAAATTCACTGTATACAATTCCTTACCTGTAGGAGGTTGGCGGGCAGTCTCGCTGACCGGTAGCCATCAAAGAAAGCAAGTGCTGTACTAAAGGCAGGTGTCGGAATTCCAAGCAGGACGGCGGTGGACACAACCCTCCGCCACGCGGCCTGACAATTCTCTATTGCTGTTTTGAAGAAGTCATCCAAGAGGAGATTGCTCAGCTTAGGGTTTTTGTCAAAGGCACTCTTTATATCACCAAGGAAATGACTGAAATAAATCAAAAGAAGTTTCTTGAAAGAATTCTAATTTGTTAATGTGCTTTAAAGCATATCCACAAACAAGAGGCCCATGGGCCTTAACGGTCACCTGAGTCCTACAGTATTTATTTTTGTTGTTGAAATATGTACCAATTTGAGTAAAAAATAGTTAAGTATAACGTTAATTTAAGTTTGTCAGGACCATGAGCTGATCATTCCTAGACTAAGTTTCAGTTAAATCAGCCTATTAGGACTTGGTTTTAAGTTTGAAATAGTTTTTCAAAATGGCGGCCGTGGTGGCCATATTGGATTTCTGTTTGACCCAAAAAATAACAACAGTTGGTCAGGGAGATGTCAGTAACCTTCCCATGAAATATTAATGAAATCCCTTTGCCAGGATTTCAGCTTATGTTGAAAATGTAAAATATTAACGCATGACGGACGACGACGGAAGAAGAAGGATAGCAATAGGTCACTTGAGCTAAAGCTCAGGTGGCCTAAAAACTCATCAACAAATTAAAACTAATGATTTCATGTACATATTTATCTGTAGATATTAGATAATTTTAATTTGATGGTAGTCTTTACAACTAAAACATTTTACAAACCTAAAGGCTAACAACTCAATAAGCCACAGTGGGATGAATCAGTAAATTAAAGTCAAAAATCGTAGAGACATTTTGCCCAATTTTGACAGCTGATTTTGATGATTCGGCACACTGTGACTAAATAGTGAGTTATTTTCAGCTGTTTAGAGTGGAGACTCTGCATGGTCATTTACATTATTTTCTTAAAAGGGCAAAGGAAGCAGAAATTTTCGAAAGCTTGCAAAATAACATTTCAATTCCTGTTTGTGTTCAAAACAAACTTAGCTTTTTTATTATTCGTAACAAACTGGTGACTCTTATTTCGGATTTAACAAACCTGCGGATGATGCATCCTCCTCGCCACATCAATGCAATGCCACCAAAGTTAAGGTCCCAATTCAGCTCGGATCCTGCCTCACGCATCAACATGAACCCCTGAGCGTAGGAGACAATCTTGGAGGCATACAGGGCCTGAAATGGGATAAATCATATTAACATGTACATATATAGGAAAAACGAACCATGTCTTACAGGAAAAACGAACCATGTCTTACAAGATGATACAACAACGTTGATAGCACACAAAAGGTGGGGCATCAAAAAGAGAAATCAAGTCAAAATCAATTGCTGGATGGCATACCAATTGTACCAATAGTGGCTGGCCATGGACTAGGCGGAGGTTTACTTATTTCTGATAAATCAATGCATTGTTCTACATACAGGTAGATTAATAAACAATTACTCACCTGCTTGAGATCTTTAAGAAATGCCACCTTGTCACCTTCGTATCTGGTTTTCTCTGGTCCCTTGATGTGTTTACTGGCTTCAATCCTCTCCTTTTGCAGGGCAGACAGACATCGAGCAAACACAGCCTCACCTAGAGCGATTCCAAGGCGATCAAGATCGTAGTCAGATTAAAGTAAATGTAATGTTGTTTTAGTGCTATTTTACTGTGTTCCATAACTATTCCAAATAAGAGCTGTTAAGGTTTTCCATCAACCTCGATATCCAGGGGTTACGCCCACTTACGTCGCTCACTTTCGCTCTCTACACCCCTGGACTATATCATAGCAAAATGGAATGCACGAAGATAGCTGTTTGATTGGTCTCGGGTAAAAAAAAACTGACAAATCGCTAGGCTGATACCTGTCCTCTGAAGATTACAAAGGAGAGACGCCCTACTTCACAGCCTGTCAATTCTTACTGTTACCTGACAGCGATATTCTTTTGATGTACATCAGATCGAACTAGTCTTCTTGTCTCATCTACAAGGTGGCGCACACTGAGCCTTCAATTTTGTTTTGACATATTCTAGGGGTGCAGAGAGCAAAAATGACCCCTGGATATCGAGGATGGCTTTTCATAAGTCCCAGCAGGATCTACAGGGTAGTGAAAAAATGTACATCTCCTGTATTGCTTCATGTATGTACAGACAGTTTAGGTGATAGGAGTTATGTCCCTTGATATTGTCAGACTGAGGTGGAAGACTGGAGCAAGTGTGTGATGTATTGACTTTTATAAAAGATGGTCCTTTAATGTCGACAATATAGATTTGGGTTCTGTCCAAAGTTTTAACACTGCAATCAATAGATAAACCCTATGGAGGACCCCACGATTACAGAAGACCATCCAAGAGCAACTTTACCTCTGCAATTTTATCTCCATGCACCCCTTACATGTTGTGCTTTTTTAATGTTACTGATATCAGGATATTTAAACAACATGAGGCTCACTAATTAAGTCTGCATCAAGTATCTTATAATTTCTTTTCTAACTAGCTACATACTTAGGTTCAAATCTTTCTTCTAACATTTGAGACCATCCATGCATGGTGGCTATATCAAATATTGTACTGACTTGAAGAATGGAGAAAAACATTTTAGTTAGGACATTGCCAGGAACATATATAAGACATGATAACCACTTCCACCACTTTTAGACCGACCCTTCATTTATATAACTGCAGTAGGAGCAAAAAACGCACGGTCTGCAGACCGGGGTTCGAACCAGGGACACTCCAAACTCCAAGACGGACACTCTACTAATTGAGCTATCTGGTCGCTGGTGATTGACCCAGTCCAGTTCCGCTACACAACATTGAATTCCTTTGGCCTAGAGATCCTCGATTCCAAACAAAGTCAAAGTATCTTAACTTGTACTTATGTAATTTAACCTTTTAAAGATCAACCCTAATTTCCCTTTCTGGGCCCTGCCTATCTGCCCTGAGGTAGTGGGGGTAGAGGTTGGGAGTTGGGAGTTAATATAAAGTTTAATTTTCTTTGCTTAAGAATGCTCCATGACTAAATACATTAAAACCGTTTAACCATAAGGTTTGAGTTGCCAATTAAATATTATAGTGTTTTTTTTCTTTACTTGGGCTTTGCTTCTCTGCTCTCAGGGTAAACATATCGGAGTATAACATATGTTATATTTACGATCATTTCTTAAACACCTGCAAAATTATCCTCCACACAGAAGATATCAAGTAATCCACTGATTTGCCACATCATATATATATAGGTTAACTTACCTATAAGAGACACAGGAACACCAAACTCTAGGGCAGATATGGCCGTCCATTTTCCTGTTCCTTTCTGGAAATAGCAAAACAAATTAATTGCAATGAAGTTTCTGATTGTGATTTGTGTGATTTCAGCAGATTTATCCTTAGATATTTCTATGAAAGATTTCCCGATAAATTTTAAAACATGCACTGTTATCTTAAGTTCTGGTAGGAAACCCTTTTTGAAAAGGACAGGATTTGCTAAGTGGTGTTGCTATCCTTAAAAAAAAAGAGAAAAATGCAATCACACTTAAAAAAAGTGTCAAATATAAATATATCTATAAGAACAAGAAACGTTTTCAAAACATACATGTGACCCCAACTCCCACTTTGCTTAAAGTGAAAATGAAGGAAAAGTCCAACCAAAGTCGGTGAAGCAGAAAATATAGGTCACAATGACCCATCTGTCACATAGTGATGTATTTGCAGACTGTAGACCAGAAAGTTTTCACCCATTGACGGTAAAAAAACATTTTTGCCCACTATTAAATTTGCCCTTCACATTTATTTACTATGTATACGATGTTGTTTACAAATGTTCGCTGTAATAATACATTATACCCTCAATGCAGAGAACAAAAAAGGTGTTTTAAACTGCAGTGAAAATTTCCCGGTATAGAGTATTTAGCTTTGACTGCAAGGCATATAGCCATATACATGTAGCATTACAGAAATAAGGAAGCTGAATTCAACAAGAGGCCCAGAGGGCCTGTATCGCTCACCTGTTTCTTTTGTTACATGAAACTGACATATAGGTAACTTCAGACCAAATTCGATAACTAGAACACAAGACATTTTAATCTCTTAAACGCTTCTCAAGATATTGTTGTTTGAAATTTGAAATTGTAATTTTGAAGCTTTTAACCCACGTTGATCTTTGACTCCGGCTAGCACTTAAAGTTGACATTTGAATTCATTACTGTAATTAAGAAAGAGATTTGCATTGCTGGTCTACATAACATACCAAAGTATCATATCTCTAGACTAAATGCTTCTTGAAATATCCTCGTTTGAAGTATTTTTACATTTTTGACTCCTGTGACCTTGAAAGTAGGTGAAGGTCATTTTAAAGAAGAAACTGTATAGCACTCTATCCCCGGTACCTACTGGCCAAATATCATGACCCTGGGCCTTATGGAACTTAAGAAGATTGTTAAAGCTTTTAACCCATGTTGACATTTGACCCCTGACTAGCACTTTAAGTTGACCTTTGCCCTCATTACTGAAATTAAGAAAAAGATTCGCACTGCTGGTCTCCATAACATACCCAAGTATCATGACTCTAGTCTAATCGGTTCTTAGGATATTGTTGTTTGAATTTTTGAACATATTTGACCCCTGTGACCTTGAAAGTAGGTCATTTTAATGAGGAAACGTTATAGCACTCCATTCCAGGTACCTACTGGCCAAATATCATGACTCTAGGTCCTCCAGTTCTCCAACAGAAGAAGTCGTTTAAAAGAAAAAGTCGACGGACGGACGATGGACGCCGCAGTACGGCATAAGCTCACATGGCCCTTCGGGGCCAGGTGAGCTTAAAACCATCCAAGATGTTTTATAGCCAGACCAACAGTTAAATGGCAAACACTTATAATACCCCATCATCTTTGTAGTTGGAGGCGTAAAAAAGGAATTCAATTTGTTGGTTATAATCACTGCAATAAAATACATACCTGTCCGGCTGTATCTCTGATCTGTTCCAACAGAAAACTGCCGTCCTTGTTCTTGAACTTGAGGATATCCCGTGTGATTTCAATGAGGAAAGAATCCAGTTCCTCTTTATTCCATTTCTCGAAAACCTATCGACAGAAATAAATCTTAACTGATGACTGGTATATTTTTCTAAGATATAATAATAAAATGCAATAGCTGCCTGAAATGTCATTAATATCATCTATCGGTAACAATTATTGTAGTCATTGCTTTTTTTGTGGGGTTCTAAGTTTTTGCAGCAAGATATTTTATGCAAAAGTGTTACAACCCTTGGAAATGACAAATTAATTCATCATAATTGTAGCACATTGAATCCAGCTGCCCACTCAACCTGAAATTTCAGATTATTAGATTCAGCGAAATGGAGCTATATCTTTCCCCCAGCAAAACTGGAATGCACCTTTGAAGTATGGGAGAATATATTGACTGTCCTTGCTGTTACAGACTGTATTGTCTTCAGACTATTCATAATGTAACGCGTGACAACACAGTAAAACCAAAACAGAACAAAAGTCAAGTTACACATCTTCTACAGAGTGCCCTTTATAGTTTATGAAATTCCTTTTTAGCAAATCTGTGGAAAAAAACAACTTTTTACAGTAAAATTGAACCCTGAGTGAGATCAGTTGAATGTATTTATTATTGTTATTGAATACATTAACCAGAACAACTTGAACCATTCCTCATCAGTCACTACTCAATTCCTTTATGAGATACTTCACACAGTTCTCAATCAGTTGAGTACGTATATAGGCCATCATAAAGAGTACAAGCTCCCATGCAGGTAACTGACATAAATTCACCACCGAAAAAGGTATCTTTATCTTTTACCATGATCATGACCCAAATCTATTTATAGTTGTGTGATCGCACAACACACCAAATTTACTGTGAACATTGTACATACATCATGCGCACATCGTCCCCATATATAATGTGCACAACTGTGCGACTCAACAATCAATCGACCCGTTGTGTGATAAAACATACACATATATATGTGCAATGTGGTAAGAATATTTGATTGAATGAAAAAAGTATGGAAGCCTGGTGTGAAATAAAGCCATTCTTTAATATCATATTAACCATGGATACCTATTTATCAACTGTGTGATAGATATCACCTAGTTGCACACTGCACATCATGATATGTGCAATCCCACAACTGTAAGATAGTGACAACACAATGAGTGGATACCTACAAAATTTTGAAGTGCAGATTTGTTTAATTTTCTATCGGAATATTTTGCGAGCCTCAGTGTTATAAAACAACCAAATTAAGCCTCAGTCATCCAGTCATGTTCACAGCCATCGTAACAGCAGCTCGATAGTTTAACTGCTTGCATTTATTAACGATACCTTTTTCAATTCAGAAAAGCAGAAATGTTCACTGTACTCCCCTAAAAAGTACTGCAAAGGTTGTGGAACAGATGAATTTTCAATTATAGATGGTTGTTCTTAAGTTGGAATGACACACCACTGTATGGTGTACTTACGTCGGCCATCTCTAGTTGGCCCATGCCGAGTCCATCCTTCATTACGTTGTAAGCCTCACAGATGAGCTGCATGTCTCCGTACTCAATACCGTTGTGGACCATTTTCACAAAGTGTCCAGCACCGTCACTTCCCACCTGTAATGTAGCATAAAGAATTTCACACACTTGAATTTATTTCTGTTTAAATTTTTCTGTATAACTGTACATTTGAGTCCTAACTGGACGTAATTGTTGGTAGTCAGGTGGCGCAGTGGACAGCGCACTTGCCTTTCGCCAAGGCGTCCAGGAATCGGACGTGAAAAGGTATGAGGTCACTTGGTCAACCAAGATTTCCTCTCCCTTGTGTGCTAACATCCAGGCCAACAAGGTGGTTAATATCAGTTGAAACAACTTATAATAACATAATTGTTGTAAAATACATAAAATTAAAATATTTTACAGAAATATACTCTTTATTCAAACTGTATATATACAATAGTATATTGTCAACTTTTGCTTTTTATGTTAAATATTCGGATTTTAAAGATCCATATCAATTTTAGTAGACATAGCAATAACTGAGTCTAGCTTGTCTAAATTTTACATCATCTAAGCTTTGAGACTGATCCTTAAGAGTCTACCCATTAACTCATTCATCCCTGAAATTTCATAATGAACTATTCCAACCATTGAATTGGAAGAGTTCAAAAGTGTCTTCAGGGGTACCATGAATGAGCTCGAGTTAAGCTTGCTTTAACATCAGTCTTCTCAAGCTCACTCAGAAATAAGCTCACAAGTTACCATCAAGCTCACCAAGACCTTAACTGACTTTAATAAAGCTCATCCAGATTTTAGCTCATTTAAACATTAAGCTTATCAGAGCTCTCACTTAGACTCAAGTTCTCCTTAACTTTCATCAAGATTCTCAAATATCATTCTTTAAATTTAGCTCCCAAAGACAAATTAAGTGACCATTTTCTATGTTGTGATTGAACAATTTTATTCCTTTCACCACTGTAGACCATAATGAACTCATCCCAATAAATGCATGGTAGAGTCCACTAAAGTTACCTAGGGGGGAAAGAGTTAAAGCCTTGAAACATAAACAGTTTGCTGCAACTGTGCTGTGCCAGTTGACTCTTCAATAACCGTGATTTTTTTTTTCTTTTCAAATAAATTTGAACAAACAGCAGACTTAGCCTTTATAAGGGTTCCCTTGGAAGTTACAATGTAGGTTTCGGGTTTCATCAGAATAAATTTAAGAGTATCAAATATATTAAACAACAATTGATTTCCACTCTCAGTCCCAATATTTTGGCCTTTTTCAAGCTAAGGGTTTAAGTCAATGACAGATTCAAGCTATGTGCTGTCCATCTTGTTTCCTCGAAAGTGGAGGAAATGTAATATATGGGCATTGCAAACCTCCACTTCTGAAGATAATTAAGATGGATGTAACATGAATCAATTGCTGACTTTTGCCCTTGAAGAAGCCAGAGGGTTGAATTATTTGGACTGAGAGGTGTGATAGTTGTTTTATTGTTTATCCAATATAGGATTTTGCTTAATGCAAGTTAAAGTATGATCTAGATGACAGAACGTTTTAAACCAATGTAGTGAAAATTATGCTAAAAGCTTACCCAGTCACAGCAAGGCTCATTTCCAGACTTGGCAGATATGGACTGGAAAATGTTCTTGATATGTGGCCTGAAAATGTTAATGTAGCATAATTATTGAAGAGATTTCTAGAAATTAACTTATTTTTACTAACATTTTATTTACACTATGTTACAAAGTATAGTACTCCCAAATCACATTTTTTTCTATTTCATTCTTTGTATATTGTTCAGTTTTTCACAAATATATGCTCTTTTTCTTTCTTTTTTTTTTTATTAAGGAAAAGGACCTTTTTATCTACAACTGCTATTTTTATATTTTATTTTAAAAACACACATCTAAAATTAAATTTAATACATAGTAAGTATTTTCACTATGGGCTAGCAAAGATAAACAATATCAAGATAATCTTAAAAATATAAAATAAGAGTACATTTTGTTTTGTGAATTTCTTTTTTTTTTTATAACATTTTTCATTTCTTTTTTGAAGAACAGTGGCTACTTCCCAAATATGTTTGTTGTAATGCTTTTCAATTTCACATAATTCAGATTTCATTGGATGCAGCATTATGAAAGAAAAGAAAAAAAACACATATTTTACTTACCAGGCTTCAGCTGCCCCACCAGGCATAAGAGAGGGTCCGTACCTGGCTCCGTCCTCGCCCCCACTGACTCCACTCCCCACAAACAATAGACCTTTCTCTGCCAGAGATTTACATCTCCTCTACAAACACAAACAGGACGTAAACAATGGTGTCAGCATTTAACTCATTCACACCTAAAATTTCATAATGAGCTATTCCAACCTTTGAATTCGAAAAGTTCAAATGTGTCTTCAGGGGTAAATGAGTCAACACAAATATTTTTTGCTACTTGACTGTGACTTTCATCTTCTTGTGAAATAGAGTACCACAGGTTAAGAAAAGCTTGCAATGTATATAATCTTTTTTCGACTTTGTTAATTTTCTATGACAAACATTTAAAAGGAAAGCAAAAATTCATGCAGAATGATAACGGTACGGTATACAATCATCATTAATGTCTCAAAAAACATTCATGAAAAAGTGTCAAAGGGAGGTAACTCTAGCCAAATTACAGGTACACTATGTGTTACAGTCATCTGTAATGACCTGTGTGACCTTACATTTGTGTCGGTGTATTCGGAGTTCCCTCCGTCGATGATGATGTCTCCCTTCTCTAATAAAGGCACCTGAAACAAACACATCAACATTGGTAGCATGAGCAGGTTTCATTGTAATTGGTTTGAATAGACAGGGTGTCAGAATACACAAGTACCTGTTATAATGAACCATAACACAGCTGTATGATGGATATGACAGAGTGTTGTTATGCTCAGGTGTTGAATTAGACAGGTATTAATTCATTATTGTTAATGATCATTGTTTTCAGGATTGCTTTCAAGTATGGAAGACAGAACAAAAAAGCACAGTGGATTTTAGGCCCTACTGAAGGAATTAAGACACAATCTTGCAACCTCTTTATTGGTAACACCCAAATAAAAATTAAGGAGAGATAGCTGAAGTAGGACAAATTATTCACACAATTCATTCCTACATATCTGAACTGGACTTGCCCGTTTATAGATTTGGTAATGTTCAAATGTGACTTTAGGGTTGAATGTGTTTAATGAATGCTAACAGATGTTCCTGACTTCGAAACGGTAATGGTCAAGAATAAATCGAAAATATATACCAGTTTGTCGATGAAGGCATCAACAGCAGCTCCAGCCTTGACCAATAACATGACACGTCTCGGCTTTTTGAGCAGCTTGACCATTTCCTCCATAGACTTAGCCCCTATGATGTTTGTTCCCTTGGCCTCGTTTTTCATGAAGTCATCGACCTTGGAGACAGTTCGGTTGAAGGCCACCACCTAAAGGGTAAAGGTTGTAGTACAAAGGTCAGCATGATACACACATCAAAACATCGGTATACATATGAACTATCAATATGATTTAAAATTTCTCATGAAAAATAAAAAATTAGAGTGACGGAATTGCCAGTTCAGTTGATTAAAACACACTAAAACTAATTGGTTGTCTGATCACACTAATATGCCTCATCGTTACATTAACGGTAAGATAGGTGTTGACTGGTGTCCTTTCGAGTAGGAGGAGATCTGGTGCCATCTGGAATGGGCAGAGCAGGTGCTGTTTGTTTTGAAAAGGGAAACTTCGATCCTATTGATGGGTATAATGACAGCGATACTGGAAGAGTGTGTTTTAACTTTAAGGCAGTCAGCCAAATACCGACGAGGACCGCTAACAGCAGAATTATAGAGACATAAAACTACCAAACTCTTTAGATTTCAGCTTTTCCTTCTCCTAAGAGACAAAAATGAAATGTATTTGACTGTTTTCAGTCCCTAAATAATCATTTTTTAAACTCTAATTGACATATGATGATTGCCGGTTCATTCCGCAATTATGTGAACCTGCGAGTTCCTGCCGGTCAATAATATATCACGACCTAGACTCTTTACAATACACAAAACCGCTAACTTCGCGACTTTAATTTCCACGTCTCATTTTGGCGCAATTGAACAGCCAAAATTGAATATTGAATCATAAGTTTACACAAGAACAGCATTTTCCATCTGAGAGTATTAAAATTACGATGCAATATGCCGACATTATAATAATTTTCCCAATTGCTGTACTTATCATAGATCTAATATCTAAATATACCCGGCCTCTTCTGCCCCTACCGCAATATATACAAAAAACATCACGTCAAAAAGCTACGTTATCGCAGCTTAGTATACTTATCAGTTCAAATCGTCGGAAGATCTGAAATTTTGGCCTTATGTACTTCAGATTTTTTTCTTATTTTTCCATGTAATATATAGCTTATAATTACGAATGGTTGTGATGGTAAAATAAGTCATACATTCAAAAATTATTACGCAAAATTTTACCAGTTTATTGCTGCAAGTACTTTGCCGATAAATGGTCGCAATATAGGACTGGTAATGAACCAGTCTTAACTGGCCATGTATAACTTTTTTAAAGTATCGCGATACTATCGGCGAATGCCACGATGCATAGGCACTCAAGAAACAAAATGATTCATTGATGCATAGGCGAATCATTACACCTCTATCTCTTAACACAGGTGATTTCCTTATACAGGTGGTCTCTTATCACAGGTGGTCTCTTAACATAGGTGGTCTCTTATCACAGGTGGTCTCTTATCACAGGTGGTCTCTTAACATAGATGGTCTCTTAACACAGGAGGTCTCTTATCACCAGTGGTCTCTTATCACAGGTGGTCTCTAAACATAGGTGGTTTATTAACACAGGTGGTCTTTTAATTATCATAGGTGGTTTCTAATCATAGTTGATCTCTTAACACAGGTGGTCTCTTAACACAGGTGGTCTCTTAACACATGTGGTCTCTTAACACAGGTGGTCTCTTAACACAGGTGGTCTCTTAACACAGGTGGTCTCCTAACACAGGTGATCTCTTAACTCAAGCGATGTCATAAGACAGGTGGTCTCTGATGGATACTATATAAATCTAATTTGTTGTGTAGTGGCTTTATTTGCAATAAATATTTTGATATACAGCTGTACCTGGTAAGTGTGCTTTGGTATCCAGCTGTACCTGGTAAGTGTGCTTTGGTATACAGCTGTACCTGGTAAGTGTGTTTGATATACCGCTGTACCAGGGAAGTGTGCTTTAGTATACAGCTGTACCTGGTAAGTGTGATTTTGTATACAGCTGTACTTGGTAAGTGTGCTTGGTATACAGCTGTACCTGGTAAGTGTGCTTTGGTATTCAGCTGTACCTGGTAAGCGTGCTTTGGTATACAGCTGTACCTGGTAAGTGTGCTTTGATAAACAGCTGTACCTGGTAAGTGTGCTTTGGTATACAGCTGCACCAGTGGTAAGTGTGCTTTGGTATACAGCTGTACCTGGTAAGTGTGCTTTGGTATTCAGCTGTACCTGGTAAGTGAGCTTTGGTATACAGCTGTGCCTGGTATGTGTGCTTTGGTATCCCGCTGTACCTGGTAAGTGTGCTTTGGTATACAGCTGTACCTGGTAAGCGTGTTTTGGTATACAGCTGTACCTGGTATGTGTGCTTTGGTATACCGCTGTACCTGGTAAGTGTGCTTTGGTATACAGCTGAACCTGGTAAGTGTGCTTTGGTATACAGCTGTACCTGGTAAGTGTGCTTTGGTATACAGCTGTGCCTGGTATGTGTGCTTTGGTATCCCGCTGTACCTGGTAAGTGTTCTTTGGTATAGAGCTGAACCTGGTAAGTGTGGTTTGGTATACAGCTGTACCGGGTAGGTGTGCTTTGGTATACAGCTTTACCTGGTAAGTGTACTTTGATATACAGCTGTACCTGGTATGTGTGCTTTGGTATACCGCTGTCCCTGGTAAGTGTGCTTTGATATACAGGCGTACATGGTAAGTGTGCTTTGGAATACAGCTGTACCTGGTAGGCGTGCTTTGGTATACAGCTGGACCTGGTAAGTGTGCTTTGATATACAGGTGTACATGGTAAGTGTGCTTTAGTATACAGCTGTACCTGGTAAGTGTGTTTGATATACAGCTGTACCTGGTAAGTGTGCTTTGGTATACAGCTGTACCTGGTAAGTGTACTTTGATATACAGCTGTACCTGGTAAGTGTACTTTGGTATACAGCTGTACCTGTTAAGTGTGCTTTGATATACAGCTGTACCTGGTAAGTGTGCTTTGGTATACAGCTGTACCTGTTAAGTGTGCTTTGGTATACAGCTGTACCTGGTAAGTGTGCTTTGGTATACAGCTGTACCTGGTAAGTGTGCTTTGGTATACAGCTGTACCTGGTAAGTGTGCTTTGGTATACAGCTGTACCTGGTAAGTGTGCTTTGGTATACAGCTGTACCTGGTAAGTGTGCTTTGGTATACAGCTGTACCTGGTAAGTGTGCTTTGGTATACAGCTGTACCTGGTAAGTGTGCTTTGGTATACAGCTGTACCTGGTAAGTGTGCTTTGGTATACAGCTGTACCTGGTAAGTGTGCTTTGGTATACAGCTGTACCTGGTAAGTGTGCTTTGGTATACAGCTGTACCTGGTAAGTGTGCTTTGGTATACAGCTGTACCTGGTAAGTGTGCTTTGGTATACAGCTGTACCTGGTAAGTGTGTTTGATATACAGCTGTACCTGGTATGTGTGCTTTGATATACAGCTGTACCTGGTAAGTGTGTTATGGCTCTGTTTGCGATACAAACATACAACACATTTATTATCTGTCAGCTTTCAGACAATACTGTTGACTGCAATATCATATCTGATCGTTTCAGATTAAAAAGATTTCGTTTAGAACATTAGATCAAATATATGATTGCTTCCATTATAAAAGAACTTCAACAAATTGACAAAATTGAAACTAATGTACAAACAACTTATAAACAACGTTAACACTGTTCTTTTTCTTCCCCAAGAACTAAAAACCTGTACAGTATTGACTATACAATGTATAATGAAATCAACAAGAACTCTCAGGCTAATCATACAACCAGGTGCCTGTAGCTAGCCTAGCGTCTGCTAATGAGCAATAATCAGTTTATTCATGTAGTTCCGACATGAATATATTGGTTCAAGCTCGGCCAATTATTGATCTATTGCTGATATCAGAACTGTATACAAACAGACGGACAGCTGAATGGAGGACGACTGACAGTGTTCTCCTCTGACCTCATTATAGACTGTTAACAGGGGGGTTTAGGAAACCAACATGGAATGAAAAATTAGGAAAAAAAATCATTCACTTATAAAAACCATTTTGGGAAATTCTGATGACCATTAAACAACTGTGAATACATATAATTAGTCTGTTTAACTTTTATATGCTGCATTTTGAGAACTCAATCCATCTTAAGAAATTTATTCATATTCATGATTTTTTTTCTCATATTTCCCTGTGAGTTGCGAGTTTTAAAAAGGAAAATTGGGAAAATCACCCGTTTTGAAAGGGAATGAGTCCTATAAGTATACTCTTGATTATAACCCCTTAGCAAACAAACTACAGCACTATAGATAAACATCCAACACACTATCAAATACAAGGTATGTGAAAATATACAAATGTAGGAACTGATTTGTAGGTAAGCAGGGTTAGTGACCTGAGGCTGAAATTCACCGATTTCTCTTACACCCATCCAACCCTTGACAAATCTCCATGAAATCTACAGGTTAGAAGTGATACACATTCATAAAATTTTAATAAAAACTAAATCAGCAATATTTTTTTCACTGAAAAGACAGTCAGGTACAAAAAAATGTCGTCCTGCAATCTAGAGCAGTACGTGTACGGACTCAGTCAGCCATGCAATCACATACAAAAATGTAATCCGAGTATCACATACTCAAACCATCCAGAGTTTATTGCACGACGGTATACCCAATACCATACAGATTTAACAGCTTCATGGCATATTGAAGGACATTTGAATCACTATAATATTTTCAAAATGATTAGAATTAAAACAAAATATTTATGCTCTGATAGTGTACCATTATTATATAACTATTTTGAATTGAATCAAAAAATAAATAAAAATAACGATAATAAAAAAGTAGGAAGTTTCAGGAAGTTAATAAAGCTAAACTGTTCTGGCCTTAAAAATTAGGATGACTAATAGAAAAGAAAACATTTTTAAATGTTTAAGTGAACGTATCATCTTGCCGAGTTTTTATTTTTTAACAATAGTATCCTATCATCAATACAGGGTATATGTATGTCACATGATCTTTAACGACACGCAACAGCTAACAGATTTTTAGCCGACACAACAAACTTAAATGGTGCCAAAAGTAACTCTATATCAACTCCTTACTCCCACACACACCAGGTACACAGCTGTACACCCCGGACAAACATTACAGCTATATACCCGACAGCTTTATAGTTGATGAATCATACTGACCTAGGTCAGCAACTGAGGGCCCCGCTGTATGCCTGACAGTGTATACATATCTCCCGTACTGTATGCCTGACAGTGTATCTCCCGTACTGTATGCCTGACAGTGTATCTCCCGTACTGTATGCCTGACAGTGTATCTCCAACCTTCTGTAGGGACCTTTAAATACCTTATATCATGTATTTTTGACAGTATATTCCCATTTGTGTTTTTTAGTAAGAGCGACCTTGACCTTAAGAAATGTTTACACCACTATTGCACATCTGCATATAATTACATTGTATCATCACAAGAAATTGCAGAAAGCTGGCCTTCTGTAAGTCTCTTATCTGATGTCATTTTGACTGAATATTCCTGATTCTATTTTTAGTAACAACAACCTTGACCTATAATTTTTTTAAATCACTATTGCACATCTGCATATAACCACAATGTTTCATCATAAGAAATTTCAGAAATGTAATGGCCTTCTGTTGGCACCTTATATGATGTATTTTTGACAGTTACATATTCCCAATTCTATTTTTAGTAACAGTGACCTTGACCTTATGAACTTTTAAACCCCTTTTGCACATCTGAACATCACAGTGTATAACCATGTAAAATTTCAGAGATTTTGGCCATCTGGATCATGAGATAATCTCAGGAAACTGAAGTGCTGACGGACAGACACTTAATGATTACTATAGGTCAGCCGTATTAATGTGGGGCCCTAATAACGCAATAATTACATTCATTGATACAAAGATAATGATGCCGAAGGAAGGAAAATGAAACAAAGTAAATGCTTTTAACGACAGAATGCATCGAATGCACCTGGTCGTTTGCAAGGCCTGCATGCAGATGACAGACTCACCTTTAAAAGCCTTGGAAACACAATGATCTAGCATTCAATTGCAATAACTCACATGAGTAAGTGCAACACTGAACAAAGTAGAATCTAATACATTGAAGGGTAGTTGTAAATTTCTCTTCAGATCAAAAGAAAATAACTGCAGTGTCTGGAATTTTTCAAGTTCATGATCTACATTACATTATGCGACTCATTCTGTAGCCATTATGAGATATTTCGTAACATTAAGTACATTTCAAAAGCTCCAGAACGTTTGCATTCCGCTTGACATGTTTCAGAAGCTCATAGCTAATACACCCTCCCTTCTCATGTAGGAGGAAATATAAATACCAGGACTGGGAGCAACATCATCATGTATCTATATAGAATTACAAGATTTTGTCAAAAGTACAAGTCATTTAAAAACTTCAGTCAAATTCACTCATGTCACACAAACATAACATCATCCAAAATTCTCAAAGCTTAGTCAACTTAATCACCAGAATCAAAGATATTCAGATATCAAATTTGTATGCATATTTTTTTTTAATGTTCACAAATGAAATAAGCCTTCATCTAGAGAAATGGAGAAACAGCAACTACTCAACTGATGTATTTTTAACAAATAGATATATCTTGAAAATTCAAAGTAAAGCTGAGATATTAAGCTCACTAGCTATAGGCTTTAGGATGAGCGACAAGATATAACAGGTCTACACACATCACACATCCTTGCAGTACACCAGAACATCCCACAGGAAATAATTACAGATGATGGGTCACCAATGTGTTATAAGGCCTTTCCTGTACTGTGTAGCACAGTTTTATTTATTACAGAATACACCTCTGAGAGTCCGAGAGCCTCCCCCCCCGGTATAGGATGTACTAAATATTTGTAGTTATAATGATTTTTTTATGACCTTCTAATTTAGAAACCGATGGTACACCTAATTGAGTCTCTGATAATATACTGTGTAAGTCACTTCATTAATGCATTCTTCTGGAATAAAACCCTCATTTATCTTTAAAATTTTAAAATTAAACACTGCAATTGTTCTACATTAGACTTAACATCACAAATTCCATTTTAAAAAAGAAATTGTCCTTTGGAGGCAACTTGCTTTAAATATTATATATATATATGAACTATCAAAAGTAAAAAAAAATCAACTGTTTCAGAATCTTTGCATAAAGAACGAATATGAAGAAGAAAATTTGAAAAAAAAATGACATATATATATATAGATAGTAGTGGTAAATATATGCACTGTTAATTGATTAATTTTCATGGGTAATACATTTTCATTGATTTTGTGGTTAGATTCTTAATTCACTAATTCATATCTCAACAAATTAAACAAATGTCAGAAGTTTGGTGTGAGGGTACATTTGGATGTTTATTATATATAATAAGTGTGAGGTATATATATATAGTCAGTATACTAGCAGTATTGGAACTACACAAACAAACCAAGGTTTTTATAAACAAAAATCAGGGCGAGGACTTACTGTTGCCTGACTGATGAGGCTGTTAGGATGGTATAATTTAGCACCGTCACTATTAATACAGGAGAAATGGTGACCTTGTGAATTTGAATTCCTCGTCAGCTTGCATTATACATTAAATTTTCTCCTTACAAATTTTCTATACTATACCTTGTTTTTAATTTACTCAAAATACAATTACCAGGGTAATTCATTGTACAAAACAGCCTATTTTACCCATTTATTTTCACAAATAGGGACATTGTAATTGCCTTTTAGAAATTGTTAAGATTGCTCAACCATGAATGATTTTGAAGATTACAAAGTATAGCTAGCGAGGTACATCTGCATCTCAATCCCAAGCAGTGAACTGACATTTTTGTCCAGATAACAATCAATTTCAAAACTCCTTCCAGCACCAAATGTGAATTCTGCTGTATTAGATATAATATCTGAGGTAATTTAATTTCCCTAGAATGTGTAACAGTATATTTTTCCTCCTATAAGCACCTGTGCTGTTTATATAAGATAATTGGAAATATAGATCCTTTTAAATTCAATTTGATCTGTTGACTTTTCAGTTAATTGTTAGGCCAAAAAAACAATTGTTTGTTTCCGGTTATTTTACCTACTCTAATTTTTTGTGCCAATTCCCTGAATTAGTTAATTTTCAAAGAAGCTCTAGCATAGTGTTAAAGTCAAGATCATTCTCCTTAAACAAGCCATTCGGATTGATATGTCTCGCCTGTGCCCTGCTTTGACCATCAATGCATGCGCACACGTTAAGTTTGGTTGGTCTATAGCTAGCACTTATAGTTTCAGAGAAACTAACTTAACCGCAACAACTTATGCTGATGGAGATGCTGACAAAGTCAATGGACCATGACAGGTAGGCTACATCAAGCATTTGATATGTATGGGTTGAGAAGTACTACCTAAGATGCATGTACATGCATGTACAGTCCAAGTTTGGTTGGTCTAGCACTTATAGTTTCAGTTAAACTAACTTAAACACAAAAACTTATTGTTCATGCCGCTGTCGGTATTACACCTTAGTCTTGCTTCCATTACTTCCTGGCGGCGATCGAGTGCAACAAAAATGAACCTACCTAAAGCTACATCCTATCCTACTTTTTTCAGACACGTACAGGAAACAAACATTTTTATTGCTTGGCCTTAATTAAATTCAACTGTATGAAATCATTTTCACTCAGTAAATAGATTCCTAGTCCTAGGTGCCTAGAGCAGGAAAGCTCCTACTGGCTGTACATGTTTACACAGAAATTTTAGCACTGCTATCCCAAGGTACCAGAGTTATGTGTCTCAGAATGAAATTAAAACCTTTTTCCTGGTTTCAATTGATGTAAACATTAGCACTTAATTTCTGCTAATGTGATGTGAATCTACATTTATATACATGTATAACTGCTGTTAATTACTTTGAATAGCCAAGGTAATTACATGAACTAGCTATTTGACATTCTAATAAATTAACACTATTTGGATGTTGTTAATGCGTTTCTTGAGGACAATGTAAATTAATTTTAAAGATTTTTTTTTAAAGATGGAGTTTTGTATACAAACAATTAGTGCTATTGACTGAACAAATTAAAGTTACCAAGATTTTGGTACACTTCAATTGTTTCATCTTTTAATTCTTTAAAACATCAAAAGATCATTTTATTAAACTTTAAATGACTGACATAAAAGTTTGTACTAAACAAAACATGAAATTTGAAAAAAATGACAATGAAATTGATAACTTAGATTTGGCCATGATCTAACCTAAAGCTGCCTCCTTCTTGTTTGTAAAAATCTAGGTTAGGAGTAAAATAAAATAGCGTGTTCATCTATTACTTGTGTGCATAATGTGTTGCGCTCACGATCACAGATTTGTCAATCTGATCTGCTAGTGCTAACAGACAACATACCGTAAAGCCGTGGTCATTCATGTTAAGGATGATATTCTGTCCCATCACGGCCAATCCAATCAAAGCGATGTCTCCCCTACAAAATAAAATAATTGAACACTTTGTTTAATTAATAAACACAGATGAAAAGAAAGGCTACATGGGGTCAGCAATGCTGATCGAATATTCTCTTTTTATTATATCAGTGTACATTTGAGAAGATTTTTTTTTTTTTTAAACTGTTAATTTCAACAAGGTATGGCAATATGACCATTCCCCCTGCACATACTATCGGTTTCAAGATAAAATTGACAGAGCTTACCAATGATAAATTAAGACTTCCTAATATTGTAGTATATAATGTTAGTGACAAGTTGACTTGAAGTGCAGCACACTGACACACAGCTATACAGTGCAGTACTTATTCAAAGTATTCAATGATTAGACAAGATAACAAATGGGTCAAAGTGAAGTACACTTTGAATAAATCATGATTTTTTTTATTACAGTTCATGAATCTTTATAATTCGATTTCAATAAAGCTAAAAAGGAAAAGCACTATAGCAAAAAAAATGAGTTTCATTTCATTTTACAACACTTACTTTCACAAAGAGTATTTTTTACCATTTAAGTGCAATGATGTTAACCATAAGAAATCAGAGGCCAGCTGACAGTGAGGTCCTAATTTAAGGACCACATATATAGGTCAGGTGATTCACTAGACGTCCTTGCAGAAATCTACTAGTCTCAAACTAGATCTACCTAGCTAGACTCGGTGTTAGTGTCAAACACTGCTAAAAAATGTTTACCTGGTAGTTTCAGAGGCAAGCATTAATCTAACTATATATTTGCCCACAACTGCATGTTAAACTTCAACCCTTGAATGTGACCAGTTTCAAATAAATGGCAGATTTTAATTGTACATAGGATTCCGGTCGCCTTCTAGCTTTGAGCTAAAGGAACTTTCCCTTTGGCCGAGTAGTAGTGCGCCCGACTTAGGAACGTGGAGATCGAGGGTTCGATTCATGCTTTGCTGTCACAAATGGTATTCGAGGCCCTCCCTGTGGTGCCAGGGAGTTAGAACCTGGGTTGTGGTGTTTAAAAAAAGGTGGGGGGGGAGATAGTGGGGCAGATTTTAAATCACATGTACATAGGATTACGGTCGTCTTCTAGCTTCGGGCTAGAGGGAATTTTCCTTTAGCTCAGTGGAAGAGCGTCCGACTAGGAACCTAGGGATCCCCGGTGGAAGCACACTATTTTCTTTCCTGTGACATATAGATACCATACTTAGATCTAAATTATGGATGGAGCCTGTTCTATAACAAGGGTGCTCAACCATAGAATTATATGCTGATCATATTTGGTAGTTTAAGCTTAGAATATTCTTCATATTAATTAGGAAAACTTCAATCTTAAACAATGACCTTATAGGTAAATGTTTGTACAGTGTACATCTATAGCTCTAATAGACTGCCACCTACTTATAATATATAGATCAAATATCAACTTACATAGGTATTACACACATGATAAAAACAGCCTGTTAAATAGGCTTTGTTATCCATGTCTCAAAAGTATATTGCGACCTTAGTATAAAATGTTTCAACAACGTGTGTACGTCCGTCTTCTTATAACAAATCCTTTAAGTTTAACCGAGCTGTATACATATCTAATTATGAAGATCAACAACATGTGTGTATCCATCAGATTATGATATCTTTAAGGATTACTTGGCATTTAGGCGAAAGACAAACAACTTGACACCTATCTGCTATCATCCTCAGAAAAATTAGGGACAGACAATTCCGTCTTTTCGTATTGCAGTCGAGTTATCTGCACTTGTGAGCAGGTATTGATTATTACGTCATCAGTTTGTGAGATTAACGTACGTCATCAATTTTTGAGAAAACGACGTAACTTTCTCACACAAACAAATGATGTAACAATCAATACCTGCTCACAAGAGAAGATAACTCTGCAATACGCAAAGACGGAATAGCTAGGAAGGCATTTTTTTTAAATTTCGGAAAATAGTTTTACTACTTAAGTATGCTTCTATAGAGCATTATAGAGAGCAGGAGTTCTGGTTTTATTACCGTGTACATGTATTATCACTAAATGCCAACACAAACTTTAGGGTTAGGGTTAATCAGCAGAAACAGAAGATGTTTTTATTTGGCCTATATAATGTATACCAGCGAAAGTAAACTAAACATTTGTCCAATTTAAAAACCTGGCATCTAAGTGAACACACATTCTGTATATATGGACTACCAAATCGTGAAAAAACAACTGTTTTCTATGATATTTGGATTGTTAATTGTGGATTTCTTTTTTTATAATTGCAACACCTTGTGAAAATTCAAATCTGTCAGATTTGTTTGACACTGTCACAGCATAATTTAATCATTTCAACAACTTTAAATTTACATCTCATCACAATTTGATTAGTAAACTTCAGTTTCATGGGTTCTGTTCGGTTGTTTACATATCATACAATGATACATAAACTTACCTGACAGATGATGATTTAGAAAACAGCTTTACCCATAATAGATAAATTTTCATTATTTATAAGGTTTATACTATTAAACATTAGAGTTTCAATACAACAATCAAAGTTTTGAACTTTATTGAGAGACCTTTGTAAAGTAACATGTTTTGAAAAAATACAAAAATGAAACATGAACTTTCCTAACTGGACTGCTGAATATAATGATTTACATTAAGCATCAAGCTTGAACTCGTACAGTGTATATTGGTGATCGGTCGAGGATTTAAACCTTTTCAACACTAAACTAATTTTAAACAGAATTTAAACTTCAAAGTGGAGCAGGCTGGTATCGATTTCTGTACGATTAATACTTCAAACATGAAGTTATAGATACAGAAGCATTTCATCTGAACAACTCAACTGAAATGTGACACAGAGCTCAAGATTTTAACTCTGGGTGTTTGTATATAACCAGATGTGAATTTTAAGTTTATCACTAAAATTTGTTTTTATTTCAAGATATAGGTCGGGAGATGTCAGATAGAGGTCACCAAGCTTATTAGGCAGGTCCAAATGGGACTTCGTATTCTTGTAACAGCGTCTGAGAAACTCTCAAAATCTCCTTCCAGCATGATCCCTGTATACATGTATGTATGACAGTTGTATTATAAGGTTAAGGTATATATATTGTATATATAAGCCATTATCATGGGAAAAAAAATCTTGATCAATATTTTTCACTGTATTTACTTAAGTACTGAGTGAGGCATCTAATTTTATTATAATCGAGGGCCCGTATTCATGAAACCATTCTCATGCCCAAGCATGGATTTTGTGCTTTTAAAAACAAACTTTCTTGTTACTCACTTAATTACATCAAGCCAAATGATCAAAAAGTCAAATGTAAACACTGAAAACAGTATTTGACTTTAACTTAAAAAGTTTTTTCTTTCAATCTTTGGCAGAATTAATTTTCACTTTTAATTCATTAACAGAACAAGAAATTAGGCTTGAGCACAAAATCCATGCTTAAGCGTGAGAACAGTTTCATGAATATGGGCCCAGGTCAAATTCTTACTATTTATGGGTTTATTATCGATGAAGAAAACAAATCTGATTATTAATTTAGTTGATGTGAAAACAAAATCCTGGTTTTAGAGAATTTTCTTACAGTATTAAATGCATTTAAAACCTTTTGTTTATATTTATTACTACAGAGCCACTTATTTAAAAATATTATAAATCAGGGTACATTGTATTACTATCCCACTTGCCTGAAGCCCGGGGCTAGTTTAGATCTATATTAAGTGCAAACTAGTAAAATTTTCAATATACTATGAAAGCTATATAGGTTATGCTAGTGGAACAAAATCAATTTTATATGGTGTACATAGCATATTGATCTCTCATCTTGACTCCAACACTGAGCTTCTTTGAAAACTGCCTCAAAATGTTAAGGATAGGCAAAAAAACTAGTGAAAGTAGGGTTACCAGAAACATAAAAAAAAATCTTCGGCCTTAGAGATCTCACTTAACTAGTACATATAACTTAGTAGCTAATACTTCGCTATTTTACAGAAACGTTAAAAAGTTATCAAATGTACTTTAAATCTTAATTGATTTTTTCATGGTTGCTGCACATATGTTTTGAAATTTTCTTGTCGTTTATAACAGAACCAGACTAACGATACTCCAAAATAATGATTCAAAACCATATCATATACAGTACTTATAATAACCAGCTGCTTGTTCAACCATGATAAAAAGCCATCATTTGATACACTGTAGCAACTTTTTATCATTAAAAATAATAACAAAATAGTTTACTTATAGGTCTATATTTATTAGGTTCAGATATATGTACTTAATTGCCACTTGGACATTTAATACAGTAATGTACAAAATACTTATTTTTCTTTTTTTCCTACCCTTACAACACCAGATTATACTTGACTGCAGCACAAGAATTACAACCCACTGGACCGGAACAGCTGACATGATGGGTTCAATGATTTGATCCACACTTGGTATTTGACACGTCAGCAACAATTATTCAGAAATCAGTTGTACACATATTTAGCTTAAAAGGAAAATTTTTTTTTTTTATATTTAACTCTATTATGTCTAAGATGATTATGTAGGGGTTAAACTAAATAAAGATAATTCAAATTCCTTTTTTTTTTAATATATAAGGACTCAATTATGATAAGTTATTTTAAGTATTATAAATATCATAATTTAAAAAGTATTTGAAAGGGGACGTTGACCAATGATCCGTTTTTGGTAGCACCAATTAGTAACTATATATATATATAGGTAGGCTATATATATATATATAATGATCTATCCAAAATGCTGCTACCAGTCATTTCTAAACTTTTATATGGAAGGCAAAAAAAGAAACATTCACTGTTTGCCCCAATTCAAAGGAAAAGCAAAACAATTAAAAATATTGTTTTTATTTTTTTATTATTTCCTTGTATTTAAAGGGGCTGGTCGGGGGAAAATTACAAAATAAATGGGTCTACATGCGTTCTCTGGCCTTCCAAAAGTTATACCACGGCAATATGATGGTTGAATTCTGCTTGCAATGTCCAGTTTTGACCACTGAAATCTATATGTCACGTGGTTGTTTTGAAAGTGAGGCAGTGAAGATAACAACAATAGCACGCCGTCATGTGCCATGTCGGACTCAACTAGCGGACAAGACAGCAATACTATACGTAAATAATTGTTTTCAAAGGTCATGTATGATGCAAGTGTAGTATTCCTACCTATATGTTGTTGTTATATATAACGGTATTGATACCTCGTACCTGTCATGACTTTTGCATGCAAATTTCTCTTTCGCCGCGATGTTGTTGATGACGCGCGTGCGGTAAAATTACATCACCGATCTGGGTCAATTGGGAGTTTTAGACTGTCAGGTGACGATTCAGGATTTCTTTAATATGATTATAATTTTTACTCTTAGGGAGTGAATTTCAGCAAAATTTGTATCGGTATAATTCATAAGAAGGTATTTTAAACATAGGTATGTCATTTTAGCAAGTATGACATTTTTTCCCCGACCTGCCCCTTTAAATTCCAGAGATTTAGTGAGTGGTAAGTTTATTATGTTGTTTAATGCTTAACATTATCTGTGTAACCAAACTTTTCACTTCCAACAACAAAACAATAATTATCAAAGCAAGCAATTAACTGCTACAGAGGCAGCATAAGCCTATAAACCTATAATTAACACCAGCTAAAAGTTGCTACTCGTACATATCACACTGAATACATGATTTTACAAGAAGTCTCAGGATCATTTCACAGTCATAAAGTTTTTTCGCCATGAACAAAAGTCTCAAACACTTACATTTTTTTTAATTTATAGAGTGAACTCTGATAGGAAGAAACTGGTTTGAGCAGATCAACATTTGGATTTTCAATAAAACATTAAAATGTCATTTGATATATATTTCAATTTATTTCCTCTCTCAGCATGCATGCCTGATGAAACCTTCTGTATGCCTTACATGTATACATATGTACTTAATCACTTGGAGTCTGCAAGTCAAACATGGTAAGCAAGAGCTTGTTAAACCCCATCTACTTTAAGAATAAACAAAAAATCCTATGTTTGAATTCTTCATGTAGAAATATTGTCATCAATATTTCTGGAAATTTCTTATTGACATTTGTCAGTTTACCTTGTATCTAATTTCCTTCAAAACCTTGCAGCAATATCTGCTGTATTGTAGTAGGACAAGGAACAGTGATAAAGATAGTGCTGTCACTGGGCCCGGGCCTGGAACCTGCGACCCTTGGCTCTCCAGCCCGATGCTCTACCATAGAGTCAGAAGGGGAAATCCCCACAGCTGACGCTTGTAACTAAGGCAACATAATCAATGCACATCGTATACAGTATTATGACTGGGGCTATAATTATTAGGTTCTTAGTTTAAACTCAAGGTTCTCCATTTCTAAGTGACACAGAAAATACATAACAAATTACCCATAAATGTCTTGAATAATTTGACTAACGTCAAACTAGCATCCCATTCCTGCTACTGGTGATGCTGTTGACGGTTTGACCAATCGGCACTGAGTACTAATATGGGATGGTCAATCATGAACAGACAAAACCATATCCTGGATGAATACAAGTCATATTACTTCCTACTTCATACAGTGAAGCATACAATCCAAAATTATGAAAAGCTACATGACCTATTTTTAATGTAATTTCAGTTTTGAGATTGAAATAAGTGTTACATGTATTTTTGTTTCAACTCATTAAAGAGTTAAACTCTTATAGTAGCTAACACGAAAAGCAAACAGTGAAAAGTTGCAAGTCACGAACCGGTACTGATTGTGTTAGGCCTACACATTTTACAATTAAGTACCTTTTCATATAATATACAGTAGATAAACCATTCTTTTTTATCAGGAAACAAGTCCAGACATATTCCACAATATACAATAACTACTTACTTAGGTTCACCCATGTTGCTTGTTCAAGAGGAAAATAAAGTTGCGCTTTCCACTGTCACACTTTCTAACGTCAACTTGTAGACTGATCCGGTTTCTCAATCGACCGGCTGTGTGACTCTGAAAGGTCAAACGGAAACGGAAGTCACTAGTTTCACTTTGAAACAAACTAAACAAAAAAACATAATACGGTAATATTGAATATCACGCCGTAGTTCAATGGGTTTATTCGGTGCATATATAGCAAATTCTAATGTATTTAATTCCCATTGCATTACTATTTATTATCTCTTCACAAAAGATGGGTATTTTATAATAGTACTTGCAAAATAAAAATATATCAAAACCGATTATCCGGAAATGTGTCACTCACCGTCACCACTTTTTCAGTAGTGTGATTTCCAGCAAACAAGCATGGCCGACAACTGATTATTAGCACGATATTCCCGATATAATTATGGTTTTTCTAACTCCACTAAACCTTGCAAGGTCAAGAGGACCGGATAGAGCATGGAGAAAACGGATGTATTTACGGATGTCATGGGTACGCCTGAATACTCTTCCTCATCTACATTCCAATATGTCTGTCACACCTACTGTATATCTTCTTTATTTTACGGGCCCGGGGGCTCCATCAATGTTGATGTTTATGCCCTCGAATTCAATAATTCATTCCGTTAGCATTAAACAATCACTGTCACAAAATAATCCTCATCCAATATTTCTCAAACTTAATTGAGGTACATGCACACTAAATTTCAGAAAAAAACCCATTCAAATTTCAATAAGTTGATAACCTGATGAAAAAACTCACTTTTCATATGTTCATTTTCCAAGCTCTAAGTCACAATTCAGGAAAAAAAACATTTTAACTTGTAAATATCATAAGGTTGGATATCCATGGAGATGCATTTGTAGAGAAAAATGTGAGAAAATGCTTTAAATCTCGAGAATGATGACATGTATTTTGATTTGATATTTTACAATAATTCATCAAGCTAACAAGGCTTTTGATACAAGTCGAGCCAGTAACCTCAGTGACAACTTGTAGTGAATGGTGTACAGGTAAAATCTCACTTGCTTTGTATGTTTTTTTCCATCCTCAGTCAGCCATGTCCGCTTTGTGCTCCGTTGTGATATCGATTTATTCGGGGGAAATATATGCCATTATTCTAGAGATTTGACACTTTTTCTTACAGTTTTTCCAACCTTTTGATATTTACAAGTTTAAATAAAAAAAAATCCTGAATTGTGACTTTCATTTAGCTTGGAAAATGGACATATAAAAGGGAGGCTTTTTCATCATTTATTGACTGTTTTTTCTGAAATTTAGTGTAAATGTACCTCAATTATGTTTGAGAAATATTGGAGGAGGATTATTTTGTGACACAGAATGTTTCTTGCTAACGGAATTCATTATTGAATTTGATATCCAGTTTGGTGTAACAGCCTATAGGAATGTCCTTAAAGCCATTTTGGTCTCTGTGGAGTATAACATATAGATCTACATCAATGACTTCCACGAATACATGAAATACAGTACACTTAGACTGTTTGCAGACGACAGCATCATATACAAGACGATAAACAACAAAGAAAACACACTGAAACAACAACATGACCTTGACGCAGCAGGTCAATGGGAGACGGACTGGCTAATGAAATTTCACCCTGACAAATGCAACATACTCAACATTACACCGAAACGCAACAAAATACACTATGACTACAAACTACACAACCACACATTACACCAAGTAGAATCAAGCAAATACTTAGGCTTAACATTACAAAATAACCTACGATGGGACAAGCATATTAACAACATCACAGCCAATGCCAATAGGTCCCTAGGTTTTCTAAAACGCAACTTAAAAATAAACTCACCACACATAAAAGAACATGCATACAAAGCACTAGTAAGACCAAAACTTGAATACTGCTCTTCCATTTGGGATCCACACAAACCAAATTAAACAAATAGAAAAAACACAAAGAAGAGCAGCATGCTACGTAAACAACGAATACCCCAAAACCAGCTCAGTAACAGACATGACCCACAAACTACAATGGCTAACACTACAAACACGGCGCTGTCACACAAGAATTATCCTTTTTCACAAAATTATACACCAAACAGTATAGCCATAAACCCAACACATATACTCACACCGGTAGACCATCGAACCAGACATGCACACCCTCATGCATACAAACAAATATCTGCTACAAAGGATACCAACAAATATTCATTCTTTCCACACACAATAACACAATGGAATCTCCTTCCCATAGCAGCAGTACAATGCACAACACTAGAGGACTTCAAGGCACACCTATACACCCCATGCAGCCGTTGAAGCCCTCATCACACGCTAAAGCATACGCAGCTTTTTTTTTTTTTTTATCTATACCTTGCACACAAAAAACCCACCCAAACTAAACACTGTAAATAACCCGTTTTTTCACGCCTCTGTGATAGGACCCCCAAGGGCATAATCATCATTATTGATGGAGCCCCTGTACGCTAAAGAAGAAGAAGAAGAAGATACAAAAAACTCTTTTAAAAGTATATCTGTCTAAAAACTCTCCACTTTCCACTTTAACCCCCTAAGCCTTAGCACAGACTTAGATAGCAACCATATTCCGTGGGTTTAGATGGAAAATGTCTAAGTCTGGTGTGAGGGACAGAGGAAACTTGGGCTACCCATTTCTATGTCGGGTAGCCCAAGTTTCTTCTGGCCCTAACACCAGACTTAGACCTTTTGACATATAGATGTACATCTAAACAATAAAATAAAGCTACCAGTACCTATGATATAGCTCAGGTGACCGCTAAGGCACTTGGGCCTCTTACTGTTGTTTGCACCTCATAACTCTCTGATACCAAACAGTGTCGTAGAATTTCATGTTTTCATATAGCAGTGCACTCTGGCCCCACACTAGACATATATATAAATATATATATATGTCAAAGTCTGGTATTAGGGCCAGAAGAAACTCAGGCTCTATGTCGGGGTGCATTCACAGACCTGTACTAGCCTCGACTCTGTCAATGGTGTCAGGTTGATTCGTACTGATGAATTATACTACATGATTTATATGGTAAATCATATACATCACATTAAAGGATTTTTTTTTATCTCTCAATCTAGACTGCTACAGGCTATATAGCTGTAAAGCCCTGTGATAGCTGTATCAACCTTCAGGTACTATCATCGCCTTGTCAATACACACATAAATAGTTTATATTACAAGTGTATAATTGACAATTGAGATGTTAGTTCTTGATATGAACATTTCTGACATTGGATTTTCTAGCTATTTTCTCAAGATTTTCTGTCTGAAAGATATTTTTTTTTTTTTTTTTTTTTTTAAATGTTGATGTGAAAAAATCAGAAAGGTTACATACGAGTTTCGCAAGGCTATTATTGCATCGCCGATAGCCAACCTTGATCAATAATAATGTATGATCAGTTTGATAAAGTTTTCATGGTTTATGTCTAAACTAACTTTACTGAGTTGAAAATGTGGTATAAATTAAAGGAACTATAAACATTATAAGATTGCAAAACAATTTCAGATTACTGTTAAACATTTGTTAAAAAATATATTTGAAAAATTTAATATTTCCTACGAGTGGACCAATCAGACGCAATGTTTACCTTGTAATATAATCCTAAATGCCTGTTTCATATAAAAAAAATTATGCGCCCGTCGAAATTCGACGGACGTATTATGGAAATCGTTTGCGCCTGTCTGTCTGGTTAAAGTTTAGGTGCAAGTTTCTTCAATGGTCTACAGTTCAGTCAGATCATGTGTTATTGTCCTAATTTTGGCATGGATGTACATGTGGGCTGTACGAAGGACAACATGGATTTATATAATTTAACAAAAATCATTGGATAGGGTCTGATGGGCGTATTATATATATACATGCATCCATTTGCAGTGCTGTTGTTGGTTATTGTTTTCTGAATAAAAGTAATATTGACACATCTTTATTGGTTCAATCATAAGACAGCACTGTTGTAATTGAGTGAAACATATATAGGTGAGTTTAACTTGCTTGTTAGAATTCTTTCTGTTATTTCACACAAGTGCATCAAAAGTCTCACTAAGTGATCGTATTAATATCTGTGTTTTTCTTTTCTACAGCTGTATTACGGGAGAAAGAGACAGTGCTTTTCCATTGCTGTTAGATCTGTAAGGAAAGCTATGATGTACTCGACAAACTCAAGATATAAAAAAAGAAAAGTAATAAGCAAGGTGAGTGGTTCTCCATAACATGGCTAGGACTTTACCAAGGTGAGTGGTTCTCCATAACATGGCTATGACTTAACCAAGGTGAGTAGTTCTCCATAACATGGCTATGACTTAACCAAGGTGAGTGGTTCTCCATAACATGTCTATGACTTAACCAAGGTGAGTAGTTCTCCATAACGTGGCTATGACTTAACCAAGGTGAGTGGTTCTCCATAACATGGCTAGGACTTTACCAAGGTGAGTGGTTCTCAATAACATGGCTAGGACTTTACCAAGGTGAGTGGTTCTCCATAACATAGCGATGACTTAACCAAGGTGAGTGGTTCTCCAGAACATAGCAATGACTTAACAAAGGTGAGTAGTTCTCCATAACATGGCTATGACTTAACCAAGGTGAGTAGTTCTCCATAACATAGCTATGACTTAACCAAGGTAAGTGGTTCTCCATAACATGGCTAGGACTTTACCAAGGTGAGTGGTTCTCCATAACATGGCTAGGACTTTGTCAGCAAGTTTAGTCCCATGTGACTAATTTACAGGTGAGATGTAAAGTTTATTCCTGAATGTTACTATTTTTAGCTGCCCTATTCGGGGATAAGGGAGCTAATGTAGTCAACCCAGCATCAGCATCAGCATCAGCATCCCACTTCAGGTTAAATTATTTCAGCAGATTAACACTGGATCCTTGCAAACATATGTTTGCAAATTACTTAGAATTTTATATGGGGCAAGGATGTAATTCTTACAGTAAAGACACTATGATGTTGTCAAATTTTCGGAGCAATCCACTCCTTTATAGGGACACAGAAAAAAACACAAAACAATTACAGTACATAATAACAAGGTTAGAAAATTAATATAATAGGATATAGCTCAAATATTTTGAATTTTCACCGACCGCATGATGCAGCATCGTTGACCACTGATACCATGTGTGTGGGATCAATGACAAAGAGATTAAATATACTGGGAAAACTGTAATATTTATACATATATGTACATTGTAACTTCACTGTAGCCCATATTTTGTATGTTTACCTATATTTAAAATTGAGTTTAACTATATTGAGCAGCTTTCATGATTGACGGTTTGACAAAAAATCCATTTTGTTTTTATATATTTTCAGATATGGAGAATGAGGATAGGAGCTGCGTGTGGAGAACACAGCCTTGATTATTCTACCTTTATGAACACACTGGCCGAGGTATGATTTTGCATTAAAATTTGTTAAATGTGGTATACATGTATGCATTTCTTACCCGAGATCATTTTAATAGAACTTCTGAGTGAGGATAGGAAGTGTAAGATGAATGAAATATGTATTTCACATAGGGACAAAGGAGAAGTGCCCCATAGAAGAAATAGGAGTGAAATAGGGTATAATCTTAAAAGAACTACTTTAAGAGCAAACGGTACTGTGTGGAGCAGATCCAAAATCTTAAGTGGCTGCCAATAGCCTCCGATTTGCTGAGACATTTTTTTAAATTTTGATTCACCAGGCCAATTCTTATCCAATATTAATTTGGTTTGAATATGATATTGTACCGGTAATTGTCTTGATCCAAGATCATTATAGCTACTGATTGAAATTTTTTTTTTTTACCTCCTTAACTTTCACTCGTCCAGTTCTAAATATACTTGCCCTGCCAAGTGTGTTAAATTTGATTGTTTGGGTCAAGAAGAACAATTTCATAATGCTGCCACCAATGCCTCAAATAGGCAAAAACATTTTTAAATGATTGGTTCAGATGATGAATAAAAACAGGTCAGCAACACAGGCCTTCTGGGACTTTTGTATTTGTATTATCATTTATCAAACCTTTGAAATATATAGAATGGGTATGAGGGAAATAGCAAATTTATGGTCCCCCGAGGTGCAAAACTATTTCAAGAGGCGGCAAATGAAGCCGTTGAGGGAAATAGTTTTTCACCAAGGGTGACCATAAATTTGCTATTTCACGAATAAACCATTCTATGACTGTTTTATTATAACGAAAACAAATTAAGACAATTTAACAAATGAATTACTTATTTCATTTCTTTAAACAATTTCAACGAGAAAAAAATATAATTTGAAGTGCTGTATGCATCGTTGTTGATGATATCTTCATTTCTATCATTCAAAAATTGTTTATATAGACCATATCTAATAGTCACCATTGGTTTCCTAGCACTTCTTTAAGGTAGGAGCGGGGGTATTAGTTAGCCATTGGCTTACAGTTCTAGTTTGGTTCTAAATTGTGACGTCACCTGCGTCACGGAGCAGCCCAATGTTTTCATTGGTTGAAATTTTATAAGCTCCTCCAACAAATATTCATGAGGGAGTAGTCCTTTTCCCTGGCAGGGAGTAGTCCTCAGATGGAGAGATTTAAGTGGTTTTAGGGAAATAGGACATTTTATCGTATTATTTTTATATAGGGAAAACACAGTAGAGGTATAATAGATCAAGATATAATATATATCTTTTGTTTCAACTCATTCACCCCTGAAAACACATTTGAACTCTTCCAATTCAAAGGACGAAATAGCTAGTTCATTATGAAACTCCAGGGGTGAATGAGTTAATACAATGTATATATGTAATTGTTGAAACAAAATACATGTGTGTTTGTGTGTGTATACACTATTGTTTATAGGAAAGTTAAAAAATTAAAACCTCTTTTTTTCAGTCGAATATAGCATTGAACAGAAAGGTTTTAGCAGATCTTGCCATTTATGAGCCGAGGACATTTCAGGTAAAGTTACTATTATATTCAAGTTATATTCTACCAGGTACAACTCAGGTATTAAAATATCAATTTTCAGAATCAAACAAATTGATATATTTCATGTTCAAGGCTTTCAATAGACCCTTTAGAGTATTTTTTCTCCAAAAAACTGAGAGTTGTCACTGGAGTGTTGAAGGACAAGACTGTTTGACATTTGTTTTGACTTCAAAATTCAGGAAAATTCTATCTCACTTCTGACATCGCAAAATGTCATGGGTCAACTGAAGCTCCTGATGTTTGTGAACATTTGAAAGAAAATTCTAAAGACAGCAGTAGCAATAGTAGAGGTATCTTTTGGGCATTGCTGCTTAACTATTGCAGGCATTGCTGCTTAATTATTGCAGGCATTGCTGTTAATTATTGCAGGCGATGCTGCTTATTGCAGACGTTGCTGCTTATTGCAGGCATTGCTGCTTATTGCAGGTGTTTCCTTAATGCTGATTGGTTGGTGCATAGTCTTCATGCATGGTTGTTTATAGTAGTCGAGTACTTTCTCTTATGCTGGTCATTACTTATATACTAGAAGTTACTCTATACAAACTAATCAAAATTAGACTTGTAATTACAAATAACAGAATTACAAGTCTAATTTTAATTAGATTGAATTAAGCACATCACAGCAGGAGATCTAGATACAATGTATGCCTTGAAAGATCTGAAATAAGATTCCTCTATTTGGAAATATCAATGTTTTAGTTTATACACAAACACATCCTCGATATCCAGGGGTTTCGCTCACTTTCGCTCACTTTTGCTCTCTGCACCCCTGGAATATGTCATAGCAAAATTGAAGACACGAAGATAGCTGTTTGATTGGTCTCGGGTAAAATAAACTGACCAATCGCGACGCTGATACATGTCCTTTAAAGATTACAAAGCTTCGACACTCGAATTCAAAGTCTGTCTTTTATTACCATTATGCGTCCGTGAGATTCTTTTGATGTACATAAAAGGATCGAACTAGTCGTCTTTTCTCATCAACAAGGTGGTGCACACTGAGCCTTCAATTTTGCTATGACATATTCCAGGGGTGCAGAGAGCGAAGTTGAGCGTAACCCCTGGATATCGAGGATGACACAAACAATGTAAGCATTAAACTTGTCGAAACGTTCCATGACTGATTGCTCTCTTTGTCAAGCTACCAGGTTTGAAACATTGTGACAAGTTTAAAGCATGCATTGTTTGTGTGTAAAATAAAAACTTTTGATATATTATATGACTTGAAAATTTAATTCCTGCTATCCAATTTTAGAAGAGCACCATATTGCTTGAAACATCATTCTGTAAAAGGTTATAAATTTATTTCATGTGTAGCAAAACATCATATTTAGTTAAACGAATCTTAGCAGTATAGCAAGAGTTTGTCGACATGTCAAGAAAGATTCATATAAAGGATTTGAAAAGAAAACAGAAAAATGAAACATTAGAAAATGATGGTAGTTAACCACTAGACAGCTAATAGAGAAATACAGGCATCTCAACACCACAAGGATGTTTAGTGTGATTACCACAAGGATGCTTTGTGCGATTCACACTTAACGTCCTTGTGGTGTTTAGATTCCTTTATTTCTCCTAATGTTTTATTAGTAGGCAGCTCTATAGAATCCACCCTAGGACGCTACCACAAAGTTCTACATAAGGAGTGTTGGATAACCTTTTATTTATACTATAACTAGACAGCTAGAATTAGAATGAGGGGCATTATATAGAGTTTTTACTGCTAAAGTCTGGAAAAGGACACATTATTGTCAATCGACCTATTCTGAAACATGACTACAGTATTTCTATGTTGGCCTTATCAAATGATTCTTTATTTCAGAGTCTCACGGTATTTGTGAAACAAAGAGTGGAAGAAATGGGACTAACAGATGCTCTTAAGCCGCGAACAGAACGTGTGTTGACACGGGCAATGCTGGACCTCCCTAAATCGTGTGTCTAGGCAGGGTTAATTCTTCTGTGTGTTTGAACAAGAAACAATATGTCACATTGACATTGTATATACATAGCAAATGTGTGGACTTCATCTGACTGATTGATGGTTGATATTGTGATTAAAGTTGTTTGTTGTAATGCGGTGTGTTAGAATTAATATCACTTTAAGTAAGAGAACAAGAAAGCCGAGTTCCATTTTGTTCAGCAGTTTCCGACTTGAAGTTGCCTGCCCATTTACTGTAGTTCAGTTATATATATTATTTGAAAGAAATAATTTTATTATACTTTCTGTTTCATAAATTGAAAAAAAAATCCTGATTTAGGGAAAAGATGCATGAATACCATGATTATAAGGTTCATCAACTTAACCTCTGATCAGGATGTTTAGTTTGTCAACAATCCTTTAACATTAATGCTCAGAAGAATTTTCAAAATGTATTGAATTAATCTCTAAAATTGCCAACAACCTAAAATTGTCCATGAATATAGACAAAAAAAGCAGATTTAATAGGAAAAAATGTTTTTATATCCGTGTATAATTTAAGAATTATGTGACTCTCTACTGTGTATTTAAAAAAGTAACAACTAAAATTCTGATCTGAGAATAATTAATATTTCACCTTATTCAATATATGTAGTCCACACAAATTTGGCCATTTTCCTTTAAGGTAATAGGATTGTGCCACCATTTCTCAGTATAATTTCTTCAAATTTTGTAGTTATATTTCTTTAAAGTAAAGAAAATTTTCTGCCTCAAAAAAAATATAGGTTGTCAGAATTTGAAGGATTTTAAAAGGGAAATGTATGTAAAAAGGAGTGAATTTTGAAAAAAAAATGAAAGACACAATATTTTTACAAAATAATGTCAATAAAAATGATACTGACATATATATTAGTATTGCATTAATGTATATCTATTTAATAAATGCTGAACTTGTGTAAAATTAATTCTCTATACACGATATAAAAATTGACATTTTATAATAAAACCATATACACATAGTAATTGCAGGTAAGAGTTATCGTTCTTGAAAAACTTCACAGTAGTGAAATAGGTAGCCGGTTTCCTGAAGTACAGAACAATGGACACATGTAACGCATTGATAAAAAAACCCTGAATTAATGCCTGGATTGCTTTGAAATACTTTAATATTTAGAGAACACAATGTTCTGTCAATAATAAATATACAATATTCATCAGTTTAATATTAAACATTAGAATTTGCGGAAATTGTGATACTGTCTCCCTACAATGGATTTTCAACTCGGGATGTACTTCCTGTTTCCGTTTATCAATACACTCCAATGACCTTAAGAGACTTATTCCCTTGATGTAAGTGAACAATATCAACCATATTTGGTTGGAAGTATTCTCAGGTAGTGTGGATTCAAAATTTCACAAATGGAGTGGCTAACCCCCTGGAGGGTTGAGGGGCCAAAAAGGGGTAATATGGCCATATTGCTTGAAACATTTTCTTCTCTGAAACTATCGGATAGATAGCAATCAATATGTGGTTGCAAGCATGCTGATCAGGTGGTGACGGTTCAAAATTGGACAAATGGAAGATCTGTAAAATTAGCCATATTACTTGAGTAAGTTCTTCTCTTGGAATGAGAGATGGATATCAACCATATTTGATTTGAAGCATTGATTCAGTAGTGTACAAATGAAAGGGCTGAGCTAGGGGCGTGGTCAAAAATGGGGTGATTTGGCCATATTGCTTTTAGCTTCTTCTTCTGTGGAAGAAAGTCAAAGATATCAATCATAACTAGGAGCTTGTAAACAATTGCTGAGCATCAGTCAAGAGTCAAACACAGTCACGATATAATAATTGACTTTCGGGTCAGGCACCACCCCTAGGGACTTGATTCTTTGGACATAACTTTGAAAGGGTTGAGATCCCTACCCAATAATTAACTTTATTCCATTGCTGTGCATCAAGACTCAAACACAATCATGATATTACTATTGACTTTTGAGTCTGGCCCCACGGTGGCCCTAGGGACTTTATTTCTGATCTATAACTTTGATGCAGTTGAGATCCGCAACCTATAACCATGTATACTATTGCCTAGCATCAAGAGACGAACACAAATATGTTATTAATATTGACACTTGGGTCTGGCCCCACCCCTAGGGACTTTATTTTTGACCTATAACTTTGATGCAGTTGAGAACCGCACTCTATAACCATTATACTATTGCCTGGCATCAAGAGACAAACACAAATATGTTATTTATAGTATTGACACTTGGGTCTGGCCCCACCCCTAGGCTGGCCCATTACTTTGAAATAATTAAGATCCCCAACCCATAGCCATTATAATAATAATAATAATAATATACAGCATTTATATAGCGCCCTATATAATTTGTAAAATTACTCTAAGGCGCTTTACAACATATGGATAATAGTAATGGTTATAATTGTGAAAACAAACAACAAAGGCTTGCAATCACTTTCATACATTTAACAAGCAATGTGCACATAATTGAACAAATAAAAGGGTGGTATTTACATGACGTCTTTGCAAAGATTCTAAAATGCAGACGTGAAGAGGTGAGTTTTTATGTCCCTCTTGAACTTGGCCAGGGTATTCGACTTCCTAATAGCAGATGGTAAGCTATTCCACAACGTAGCCGAAACCCTCCCAAAGCATCTGTTTCCGTAGGTCACAGTACGAGATTTTGGGACACACAACAAAGATTCTGACTCCGACCGCAGTGATCTTGACGGCTGATACAGGGTAACAAGTTCCTGTAGGTACTGAGGAGCTGTTCCATTCAGTGCCTTGTATGTGTATACCAGAATTTTGTACTGCGACCTGTATCGTACAGGTAACCAGTGCAACGAATAAAGCGCAGGTGTGATGTGCTCTCTCTTTCGAGTACGAGTAACTAGCCGTGCTGCAGTGTTCTGAACCCTCTGCAGACGACTAGTTAGTTTGTCAGATATACCACAGAGCAGGGCGTTACCATAATCCAACCGAGAGGTAACAAGTGAATGCACCAAAATCTTGCATGCATCTGCAGTTAGAAACTGCCGAATACAGCCGATGTTCCTGATCTGGTAGTAACAGGATTTGGCAATAGCGTTCACTTGTTTCTCCATGTTCAGAGAACTGTCAAAGTATACCCCTAGGTTTTTAACAGCTGGAACAGTCTCAATAGTTCTGGCACCAACCTTGAGCTGGAGAGCCATTGTTTGCTGACACTTTGGGGAAAAGACGATTAGTTCCGTCTTTTCCTGATTAAGTTTAAGCATGTTGGCGTTCATCCAGATACTGATATCTGTCAGACAAGCTTCCAGACTTTCTGAGACTGTATTCCAACTGTCCTGTGGTTTTATGACCATGTAAATTTGTGTGTCATCAGCATAGCAATGATAGCGAAGGCTATGGCGACGACAAATCTCTCCAATCGGTTTGGAGTACATACAATATTTTCGTGGTCCTAACACCGACCCTTGAGGAACCCCGAAATCTAGTACTTTGTCATGTGAGGTGGCAGATCCGATGGCAACACACTGTCGTCGTTCACTCAGGTATGACTGTATCCAGCATAGTGCGGTATCAGTCACTCCATAAGAGTATTCCAGACGTTTATAAAGTATGCCATGGTCGATGACGTCAAATGCAGCTGACAAGTCCAGCATGACAAGCACCGCTCTGCACTTGTTATCCAATGCAGAAGCTATATCACTATGTACACGTAGGAGGGCCGTCTCAGTAGAGTGTCCCATGCGGTAGGCCGATTGCATGTTGTCATGGAGACTGTTTGCATGGAGATGAACCTCTAAACGCCGGGACACAACCTTCTCCAAGATCTTAGACAGAAAAGGCAGATTTGAAACTGGGCGGTAGTTTTTCAACTCCTCCTTGTCCATTCCAGGCTTTTTTAACAATGGTCTGACATGTGCCTTCTTGAAACATAATGGAACCTTTGACTCAACCAATGATTTATTCATGATTGCGGTAATCAAAGGAAGCAGTGCTTCAAGACATTGCTTTAATAGGTCTGTAGGCAGTGGATCAAGCTCACAGGACTTCGATTGCGAGGTCATGATAATGTTGCGCAACTCGTCCTGGGTTGTTGGTGAGAGCTTTGTCAATGGTTCCCCATCAAATGCAATGTCAGCAGTCATGACAGAGATGTCAATGTCAGCAGAGGTGTTCACTTCGGTAATATTTTTCCTGATTGAGCTGATTTTATTCAGAAAGTAATCACTGAACTTGCTTGCTAAGTCTTTTTCAGAATTACAGCTTGGTAGGATAATTTCACCTTTCTGTCCCATTAGGTTTTTGGTGAGTCTAAAAAGTTGTCTTTTATCCTTGCCACATCCTTCGATTTTTTCCGAATAATAAGCCTTCTTTGACTGAAAGAGCAGTGAACCAACTAGCCGACATTGCTCTCTATAAATCAGTTGGTGAACGGTTAATTTGGTCCGTCGCCACTGTCTCTCTGCTTGTCTACGTTTCTGTTTTTCCACGCGGAGATTTTCATTATACCACGGGGCATTTGGTCTCACAGTTATCACCTTAGTTTGCAGAGGTGCGTGTTTCTCTATGAGGGCTTCTATACCAAATGCGTATGCTTTAACAAGATCATCAACCCTGCCTTCAGTAGATTGAAGGGCGGAACAAGACTGAATGTCATTGTTGAAATCTGGTATTGAAATTTCGCGGAATTTCCGGAAGCTCACTTCTTTCCTTGAACGAGCTGGCTTACTACAATTTAGTGTTGTGTGGACAGCAACATGATCACCATATTGGTTCCCCTTTACATCACTTAGACATGGATCAATGACTGAAATAGCTCCATGAATGACTGAGTTATCTTCCCTCGTTATGACCACATCCAGTGTGTGGCCATGGGTGTGTGTAGCTTCTGTCACATGCTGAATCAGACCCCTGAAATCTAGTAGACCAGAGAACTGGCGAGCATCAACATTAGATAGATCGTCTAAGTGGAAATTTAGATCACCCGTGATAATAATCTCTTGTGGTACAACAACTTGGTGGTCTAAAAAGGTAGACCATTCATCAAAAAACACAGTATTTCGGAAAGCATTCTGTTTAGATGGTGGAGGCCTGTAAATGATACACAATCTGAATTGTTTATCACCAGCAATGACAGAAC